TCTGGAGTGTCTGAAGACAGCTAAAGTGTACTTGTCATATATATAAAATAAATAAAATCTTTAAAAAAGAAGAATTATTTATTTTATGTATTTGAGCACACTGCAGCTGTCTTCAGACACACCAGAAGAGGGCATCAGATCCCATTACAGATGGTTGTGAGCCACCATGTAGTTGCTGGGAATTGAACTCAGGACCTCTGGAAGAACAGCCAGTGCTCTTAACTGCTGAGCACAGCCTGGGAAGAAATCTTAAAGTTGGAGCCCCAACCCTGCTCCCAACCCTGCTCTGAGATCCAGTATCCCTGACCTAGGTGAAGACCCTGACCTAAGAGCTCCCAACCCCTCCTCAGGGAACCACAGGAGGAGATTGGCAGTCAGAAAAGCTTGCACAAGCGGGTAACTGGAGCCTGTCTCCCCACAGTCCCAGGATGGAAAGGACACTCAGCTGATGTTGGTGTATGGTGCCTGGCCATGTGAGGTCCCTGGAAGTTCTTTGAATTGGGAGGCTAGGGATGCGGCTTAGTTGGTAAAGGCTTGTGTAGCATACATGAAGCCCTGGGTCCGATACCTGACACCACATAAAACTGCATGATGGTGTATGCCTGTAGTCCCAGCACTTGGTAATAGAGGCGGGAAGATCAGAAGCTCAGGGCCATTCTTAGCTGCATAAGGAGTTCAAGGCCAGCCTAGGGAGGGGAGGAGCAGTAAAAATGGAACCCTAGGCAGGACCACCCACAGACAGCCCTGCTGAGGATGGGGAGGGCCTTCTCTAGAAATGTGGGCACTGGGAGAAGACGGCAGGCTGGGAGACCTGGGTTTAAGTCTCAGTTTGTCCACTGACCCTTGCTACTCAATACCACTGTTTGCCTGCAAGATGGAGAGAGAGGGAAGATGAGCCCTAGGTCAATCTGGAGCTATGACAGATTTATTTATTTATCTATTTATTTATTTATTTTTATTTTGCACTGGGCATGGCCACACAGAAGTGTCATCAACGTCACATCCGCTGGCATTGGCAACTCGGGTTTCCCCTGTAGTCAATTAGCTCTTCCTGCAGGAGAGAATCTTCATCTTGTCTCTTCCTCTCTCTCCTTTAGTGTCCCTCTGTCTCCTAAGACATGAGGCTTGTACTAGGAGAGAGGCTAGACTAGAAAACCAGAAATACAGACAGACTCTGCAGGTTGCTAACTGTCACTACAGATGAGACATTCTGATGGCCCCCAGTTCCCAGGGTGCCCTGCCTGCAGTCACCTCCGGGCTCCTGGGTAAATTAGAATGGTCCTTCTAATTCCTCCCCTTCCCTTAGCAGAAACCTAGTGGATAGAAGGGTCTGCTCTATTTCATTTGTAAAAGACCACTCTTTCTAGTTTGCACTTGAAGGATGCTCTTTGTTAAGGGTGGTTTTCATGAGCTGTTCGAAGACAGGCTTAAATCTCCAAAGAGACTTTTCTCTGGTTTCTGGCTAGGCTGGGCGACTCCAGCTGGCGACAGCTGCCCCAGCCTAAGACTAGGGAGGAGACAGATTGGGAGACTGAATTAGGCCAAGATTTAGAAAACAGACTCTCCCTATCATGAAAACAGGGTGCAATCAACCCCAAACAGCACATGGGTCTTCCATGACGTGCAGCTGGGTCCCTGGAGTCCTAAGATCTTGCACAGGGCCCTAAGGAGATTCCCTGATCTGTCCCCAGCTCCCGGCCTTACTAGAGGCTGTGGCCTGTCTTCAACTTTGTTGGAAAAGGTGGTTCTTACCTGTCTCAGTTTAGAGATGATCGCTCAGAGACTTAAGGTCAAAGAGGGAGAGAGCTTTGGCCAAAGCTGCAGGGGAGAGAGGAATGTAGGTCTACAGCTGTTGGGGAAGGATAATGCTAACTGGGCTAGGCTGGAGGATTAAAATGGCTTTTCCAGGGACAATAGCTCCTCCCAGGATGCCCAGCTCCAGGGAGGTTAAATCTGGGACTATGGGGGAGAGAATAGAACAGCCATTAGCTCTGGTGGTTCTGTCATATTAAGTGGCAGCATGATTCTGATCTTTGACATTTCTCAAAATAGAAAAGACCATTTCTCAAGACTTTTGAATGCTTCAGCTTCTCCTGTGTTGCTCTAATTAAAGTTACTAGCAACTTCAGTTTCCATGTATGTAAAACAGACAGGAGACCACATGTTCTCTTTTTGAGACAGTCTTAATATATATCCCTAGCTAGCCTGGAGCTGTATATAGACTAGCCTAACATCCAGTTTGTGGCAATCCTGCTTCGACGTGTGTGTGTGTGTGTGTGTGTGTGTGTGATGTGTATGTGTGACAGTAGTAATGTTTTGGCTATGTGGCTGAGACTAACTTTGTACTAACAATGCTCCTGTCTCAGCTCCTCAGGTGCTGGGTTTACAACCACATGCCACTGTGCCCAGCTTCATAGTCTAACAACAGCTAGTATTGAAATTTTAACCAGTGTGCTTGAGAGCCTGCCCTCTGATCTAGATGGCTCAGGTTCAAGTTCTGACCCCATTTCTCAGGTATGCTATTTCTGGACATATTTCATCTTTATGTACCTGTATGTCTTCATCTGTTAGATGGTGGCAGTAATAGTATTGGACTCTATTTTCATGAGGTCTGGCTGAGAATTAGTGTTACTGAATTAAAGTCCTTATTAAAGTCCTCAGGGCAGTGCCAGGAACACGGTATGTGAAGTTTTACATTATCATTAGTACAATGTGCTGTTTGGGGTAAAGCATGAGGAAGAGCCTGGCACCAGGCTGTTGTTGAGATGGTTGTGTCCCCGCCCCCTTCATCAGCACCACACTCTACCGCTCACTCTGCTTCTCCAGGGACTCCCCATCGCCAGCATTGAACTGCAGCTTCAGGAGTTGAAGAGAAGCCGGACTCGCCAGTTCTATGGTCTGATGGGGAAGCGGGTGGAGGGTGAGTGACAGAGGCTGTCCGTGGTTCAGAGTGGCTTCCTCAATACCCAGTACAGGGTGCCCATGGAATAGTGAGGTACACTGTCTATCAGTCATCAACCAAGCAGGAGGCTCTAGAGAGTGCCAATGGCAACACTCTGGTTCCACACCAGCAAGGGGGACAGCAGCATGGAGATAGGAACAAGGCAGGCTTTCCAGCCAGTTCTATGGAGATCACGGTCATTGAGGGTCCTGAAACAATGATGTTGTCCCCAGAGATAGAGAGAAGCCAACTGGACAGAGCTCAGTTTCTCTTGGCATGCTCTTTTTTTTTCAACACCGCTGTCCTGAGGAGTCACACTCAGTGTTGGCACTTGTTTATTTTTTTTGTTGTTTTTTTGGTTTTTTTCGAGACAGGGTTTCTCTGTGTAGCCCTGGCTGTCCTGGAACTCACTCTGTAGACCAGGCTAGCCTCGAACTCTCGAACTCAGAGATCCACCTGCCTCTGCCTCCCAAGTGCTGGGATTAAAGGCGTGCGCCACCACCGCCCACCTTTTTTTTTTTTTAAAGATTTATTTATTTATTTTATTTATTATATATAAGTACACTATAGCTGTCTTTAGACACACCAGAAGAGGGAATCAGATCTCATTACAGATGCTTGTGAGCCACCATGTGGTTGCTGGGATTTGAACTCAGGACCTCTGGAAGAGCAGTCAGTGCTCTTAACCACTGAGCCATCTGCACTGACTCAGTGTTGGCACTTGTACTGTCCATTTGGAGCACACTGGCTGCATCCATCAAGGGTGGAAATGTATGCACCTTTTGACCAATAGCTTCACATCAGGGAATCTCAAGTTTGTATGAGAATGTCACGTGAGCCCTGAGATGTTTGCACCATGGTGTTCATTGCCAAGTTGATCATAGCAGCAAAACATAAGACCACTAGGGGGGGAAAGGTCAAAATATAGAACATAAATGAGACAGACATAGTGGCAAATGCCTGCAGCCCTAACACTCCAAAGGTAGACACAAGATGTCAAGAAGTTCAAGGTCATTCTTGGCTACACAGTGACTTTGAGGCCTACATGAGATCCTGTCTTAAAAAAAAGGATCAGGGAGATGGTTCAACTCAAGCATGTGAAGCTGAATTTAGCACCCAACACCCACATGAAAAACTAGACAGTGCACCTGTAATTCCAGCACTGGAGAAGTAAAAGCTGAACGATATTTGGGACTTAGTGGTCAACTAGTCAAACTAAATTGGTTAAATTGGCGAGCTTCAGGCTCAGGGAGAGATCCTGCCTCAAAAACCAAAGTAGACAGTGATTCAGGAAGACAATCAGTATTCACTTCTGGCACGAGTGTGCGCGCACACACTCACACAGATATACATACACATGCTATATCACACACACACATACATATATACTCACACAGATGTAAATAAACACACACCAGCCACACCACACACAGAGACACCATACCACACACTATGCACACATTCCATGCACACATACCACATACACACACATATATACACACACATCACACACACACACAATTTTGAAAAAAAAAAAAAAACACCTTGTAACCACACATAATGAGACATTGAAGAAGATGAAGAATTGAGCTAGGCATGGATCTCAGTGGTAAAGGGGTGTGCTTACCATTTATAAGGTTGAGTCTTCTAGCACCAGCACAACAAACAAAATGCTTAAGCAAACTGAGTATGACACCTGTCAGTAATCTGAGAACTCTCGAGGCAGAGCCGAAAGCTCACTACAAATTCCAAGCTAGTCTGGCCTACATGGTGGGACCTTGTCTCAAAAACTTTTTTTTTTTTTTTTTTTTGAGCACAACAGAAGCTCAGATTTCTTGGGCAACAACACCCCTGTATGCCCCATAGGTGACTGAGGTTCTGATAGTAAGTGCTTTTCCCAAGGATGCGGCCCAGCTGGTGCCAGGCCCCAGTGATGATGCCAATCTGTACATGCTCCATTGCCTCCTCTGGCCACATTCCCACTCATTACACAAGGACAGTGCCATGACTAGAGTCCCCATGAAGAACCCTCATACCTCTTTACCCCTGGGAAGTAGGACAGGCTTCATCCCCTTCTCCTTCTCCCAGGAATACATCCGATCCAGTCAACGGAGAGAATGGGTGAGTGCTGCCCTGGTTTACCCCCAGCATGCTCCCTGGGCTAGGGCACACTGCGCTGGTCATTAACCACCCCGAAATAAACAGTGACGCTCTGGCTGGGGGCATGCCTGGCCAACACTGCTGTACCATTGGAGGGCGGCTGTGATTTGACCAAAAGACTGGGTTTTCTGGCTATTTCCCCAGAGGGTGGGATGAGCATGCCTGAGAGTGCCTGCAGGGGTAGGAGACAGGGCCAGAGCTCCCAAAGTACCAGAGCTAAGAAATGAATCAAGCAGGAAGAGAGCTCAGAGATTCATCCCTTTGTCCCCTGAGGATGTAAGAACTACAACCCAGGTAGGCTTTGTTCTACTTAAACCCTTCATCAGCAAAGGAATCACAAAGGGCAGATTGGGTGTGGTAGCTCACACCTTTAATTCTAGTTATTGGGAGGCTGAGGCAGAGGGATTACATGTGGCTATCCTGGACTGCAAAACAAGTACCTGTCTCAAATGAAACAACACAGAAAACACCAACCTCTTCCTACAACTCTTGAATGCCGTGTGAATCGGGTCTAGCCCCGTCATGCCCTTTGGGGCTGTTACTGATTTCACTGGCCCACTCCTAGCAGCTGAAGTGGGACTGTCTACCCTGAGCAGACAGCTTGTCTCCATGGACTGGGAATGATGCTGTCTTTGGCACATTGCGTCACGCAGTCCTGCTGTGTCACATGACTGTTGTTCCCAGCCTGGAAACTCCCCACAGGAAGATGCAGGCTTGGGTCACTCGGCGTCCTTAATACTCAACCTAGTTTCTGTACATGGAAATATTGGTGAAAGGACTAGCAAGAGGTCAGTGAGTAAAGCCATGGGAGGATGAAGGGATCCAGGGCATCCCTTCATGTTCTGTGATAAGAACGGCTGCGTTTGCAAGGACCCCCCCCCATCCCTCCTCCCATGCCCAAGGCCTCTTTCTTTTACTCTTCCTCTTTTCTCTACCTCTTCTTTCTCTCTCACCAGGGTATCAGCTGGGACGTATAGTGCAGGACCTCCTTGGCACAAGAGAAGGTAGGCATAGAAGGTAGGCATGGGCATCTAAAGGGTGGCAAGGGCATCATGGAAAAACAGCCAGGCGTCCCTCTGCCATCAGAGAAGAGGCTTCCATAGTATCCTATCCAACAGAAGGGGCCATGGAAGGTGAGAGCTGAGGTTCAGGGAGGGAAAGAGGCCCTTGATGATCGTTTGATTATTAATTTGTGATGTTTATATATGCTGCAGCATATGTGTATACATCAAGAGTTGGTTTCTTCTTTCCCGTGTGCCAGAGACCCAGCTCAGGTGGTCAAACATGGTGGCTGGTGCCTTTACAGGCTGAGCCATCCTGCCAGCTCTGACAACCCTGAAGCTGTATCTTCCCCGGCCCATGCCCTCTAGTTGTTCTGCAGACATCGTCTATCTTTGTCAGTATAGTCCTAGTTGTTGATCCCTGGGTCGGGAATTTAGTCTTAAAGAGATTCTTAGGCTTCAACAACTATCATTAAGCAAAGCAGCCCCATGGGAGAGGGGATACCCTGAGCAACTAACACCCTCCACCCCAACACACAGATGCAAGCACACAAGCAGGAGTGGTTCCCTCAAGTGGTTCCTAAAGCTGGGCATGAAAATAAATGATTCAGGCTTGGGGAGGAGCACAGAGGCAGTGAATCAGAGCAAGAAGGGCAGTGGATGCCAACAGTGAGCAGACGCAGGTCACCCTGAGCGCCCACGCGGCTTCCCTGTTGTGCTGACTTCTGGCCCCTTCCTGTCTCTCCTGACAGAAAATGGCTATTGGGAAGAAAGACAGGAATGATTTCTGTTTTTCCGAGTCTTTCTCAAGGCATCTGATTCTTTCAGAGGTCCTCTGGAACTCACCCCAATTACTAACTTGAGATGAATGTTTTACATGCATGAGGTAAACTGGTTGCTTAGAGACATCATTTTCCAGGGATTGAAAGTCATTTGCCCTAAGCCATACGGTGAGCTAGTAACAAAAGCACTTTCCTGGTCAGTTGCAGCTCCATGTCCCCAGGAAGGGGCTTTAAGTTGTCATTCCCCTCTCTGTGGAGGATAGACTGAAGGCTGGCTGGAGATGTGGCAGGTGAACCTGTAATTTCACTCCTCTAGGAACCTGCAGACAGGAGACAAGTCACCAGAGTGCAGGGCCCGGAGCACTGGCCAGAGAAAGCCTCCAGAGTCAAGAGGAAGATGAGACTCCCCTAACCACCAGCAGCATGTAGCGCTCTCCCTCAGCACAGAAGAGGATGGCCAGAGTTCAGAGAGCCCCAAGGGACACCTCCCAAATGATGCTGTGCCCATCTCTCCCCTGAACATCACAGCTGAGCCTCAGTCAACAGACCTGTGTCTTCTGTCCTCAACCTGGGTATTTCCTGCCAGCCCCACACCAACCAAACTCTGCATTTTTCCCAGGACTCTTGGCATCTGGTAGCAACGACCCACAAAGCACTGTTGCCTCCTCACAAGCTGGACTGACCCAGCTCTCCCTTGTACCTAAGGCAAAGCTTCATACTCTGTATCCCATGCCTAGCATACAGTAGGGCTCAATAAACGAGTTAGCAGTCAGAGGGAGCTTCCTCAGCCGTGCAGGGTAGAGGGTGGGACATCAGAAGAGCAGGGAGTAACATGACAGCCCAGGTCCAATCTTACGGTGGGAAGAGCTTAAGGCCTGGCTAAAATGGCAATAGAGACAAGAAAGAGACCCTAGAGGAGAAGGTACTGCATGCATTGGGGTGGGGTCAGGAGTCTTCTTCCCTTGAGATTCCTGATGTTCCAACAGACGTCCCCCTCTGTGCTGAGGCTACGGCTCGGCAGGCTAAGGCGATTGCTGCCAAGCCTGACAACTTGAGTTCAATCCCCAGGACCCACAAGGCGGAAGGAAAAAAATTGCCCTTTTACCTCTGTGTGTGTCATCGCATGTGTTACACAAAATAAAAAGACAGTTTTGAAAAGAGGTCACCCTCTCTAACCCAGCCCTCCTGATTGCATAATTCAGTCCCAGGTCACTCCTCAATCCTCTTGTGGCTGCCTTAGTCAGGGTTTTATTGCGGTGAACAGACATCATAACCAAGGCAACTCTTATAAGGACATTTAATTGGGGCTGGCTTACAGGTTCAGAGGTTCTGTCCATTATCATCAAGGCTGGAGCATGGCAGCTTCCAGGCAGGCATGGTGCAGGAGGAGCTGAGAGTTCAACATCTTCATCTGAAGGCTGCTAGTGGAAGACTGGCTTCCAGGCGCTAGGATGAGGGTCTTAAAGCCCACGCACAGAACAACACACCTATTCCAACAAGGCCACACCTCCAAATAGTGCCACTTCCTATGGCTAAGCATATTCAAACTATGACAGTGGCCCTTCAACTACTTTGTTTTTATAGTTGTCCTCATTCATATGCCAGGGCAGAGCTTCAGAGAAACAAAACAATTCCAACCTCAGAGGGCCCCATCTAGTTGGGGGAAACCCTTGTGCCTATGATATAGGACCGTGATGTTTAGTGACACCAGAAGCTAGATATGGTGCTATTTATCTGTAGTCTCAGCTCTCAGGAGGCTCAGACTTGAGCCTGGGAATTAAGCCTGGACAACATGCTGAGACGACCTCAAAAAACAAAAACAAAAACAAAACGAAACAAAAAAACCAAAAAGCCCACTCCAGAGAGCCGGCTCCAAGCGGGATGCTTGCTGTCAAAGCTGACTCGATCCTTAAGATGCTCTTGATGGAAAGAGAGAACTGACTCCCAAAACATATCCTCCGACTTCTACATGTGATACAGTATTCATGCATGTGTGTACACACGCTATAAGTAAATGTAATTTTTAGAAAAACCCTTAGAATGAAATGCGAGGGGAAACAAGGGGATGGGGGCTGGAGAGATGGCTCATCGGTTAAGAGCGCTGAATACTCTTCAAGAGGTCCAAGAGGTCCGGAGTTCAGATCCCAAAAACCACATGGTTCGAAAACATCTGTAATGGGATCCAATGCCCTCTTCTGATGTGTCTGAAGACAGGGACAGTGGACTTATAAAAATAAGTAAACGGCTAGCACGGTGCTCGGCATGTGAGCATCAAGACCTCGGTTATATCCTCAGAACTTATATTAAGAAAACAGGGTATGGTAGTATATGTTTATCACTACAGGGCTGGGGGCAGAATATGCCAATGAGAGACCCAGCCTCAAAAACAAGTGTTTAGCACCCGAGATGTACACATCTGAAAGCTCACGTCTGTGCACCTGTATAACCTGCCACGTTCTCCCAAGCTCCCGATACCTACACTCAACTGTCTCCGTTCCACTGGTCTCTTGTGCATGGTCAGGCCAGTTTCTCTGTAAAGGTTTCTAGTCAGGCACTATCCGCCTGGCTGCATTCCCAGCATTCTTCACTTCCACTCAGGCATGTGGCAAGATAACGTGGGTGCTCTGGGTGCTGAGCTCCTCTCTCTGGAAGGTAGGATTCCTTAGTCACCACCAGCTCTGACAACAATGTTGAAGAGCTCTTTGGGGAGTATTCTGAAGGACTCACATCCTGTTTTCAAGGAGTCTGCCTCCAGGGAGCTACACAATACAGGTAACTGAAATAGTAGCCACCCTGAGTAGACAGTTATAGTTCTGAAACTTGGCATAGCTCAAGAAAATGTGGTGGCACACACCCGAAATCCCAGCATTTGAAGGTAGAGGCAGGAGGATCAGGAATTCAAGGCCAGCCTGTGAATTTCCGAGCTAAGTTGGGAGTGCCATCTTCAAGAACCCCAAGAGTGGGCTGAAGTGTCTACAGTTTCTCCTCACACTACAGGTCAGCTCCTGCTCTGGTCTACAAGCACGAACTATCATCTCTGTAACCTTTCTTTTTTAAGTAATTATTTTTATGTGTGCTGGTGTTTACCTGCATGTATATCTGTGTAAAAAGGCCAGATCCACTGGAACTAAAGTTACAGACAGTTGTGAGCTGCCATGTGATTGCTGCGAATTAAATCTGGGTCCTCTGGAAGAACAGCTAGGGCTTTTAACAACAGAGGCACCTCTCCAGCCCCAGCCTTTCCAACTTTCTTTTTTTTTTTTTTTTGGTTTTTCGAGACAGGGTTTCTCTGCATAGTCCTGGCTGTCCTGGAACTCACTCTGTAGACCAGGCTGGCCTCGAACTCAGAAATCCGCCTGTCTCTGCCTCCCAAGTGCTGGGATTAAAGGCGTGCGCCACCACCGCCCGGCTCTTTCCAACTTTCTATCACTGAGGCGTGCGCCACCACCGCCCGGCTCTTTCCAACTTTCTATCACTGAAAATCCCAAGTCTGGCACACAGTTGAGGGAAGGGAGCCATTCACAAAGGGCCTCACATACATACAGGGATGCAGCAGATTCTAGCACATTCTATACTGTGAGATAAGAGATAAGCCTCCAAAAACTTGTGACACACTGGAAGTCCAAGGTAAGCTATTTTCAGAAACAGCCCTTATTAGAAGGTAACTTGTCAAGAAGAAAGTGTTTCTCTCTCACATGGAATACTTGGGACTAGGAAGCCAAGGAGGTTAACAGTCCAGGTTATTTTCTCTATTTCTATGCACAAGAAAACAAAGTTAGGTGTCCAAACATGTACTGAAGGCACTGTACAAGAGGAAAGGACAAATGGATACTGCCCAGGGGGGCATTTTCCTCACTGGTGAGCCTTGTTTCTGGTTTACTGACACTCAATGGCATTGCTAAAGATACCACAAAGGAAGTGAGCAATTACACTGCCCCCATCAGTCTGGGAGAGGTAGTCATTTGCAAGCTTGTGGCCAAAAGACCTGAAGTAAAACCCGGTTAGATCCAATTCCTAGCATGCATTACATCCCATTATTTAGCAAAGGTGTTATCTTCTGTTCTCAAGATGCGGACCCAATGAGGCCCTGACAGCAGTGAGCCAGACCTTCCTCAATACTTTATCACTGATTAGAGTTGGTTCTTTGCATTCGAGCATATTCCAAAAACTAGTTCAGAGTCCCGAGTAAGAGCAAAGCAGCAAGAATGTGTGTGCTTCCTGCTTTACCCCTGCGGCTTCTGAAACCAGGCTTTACGAATCTCATCCCTGGGAAGGAACTCCAAAGGCAATTTTCTGAGCTGTAAATAAATATGTGCATATTTACATAGGTACAAAAAAAAAACAAACCACCAAACCCAAACTATCCTAATGAGTTTTTCAGCTTCACAGAGGCCAGAAGTAAACAGGAGAGAAGGTGGCTTAGAGTCCCACTGCTTGAACCTGCCTTAAGAACAGCCACATTAACTACCTTTGCAAGGGAATCAAAATGCTGATTCCATTGGCTTTGTGTTCCAGAAGGGATTATGTGTGCTGCAAGCAAACTGTGCTCCACTTTTATCTACAGACTTTAAGATGTTCCACAGCCCCAACCCTGAGCTCTACCAACCAGCCTGACAGATAAGTCCGTTCCCACAGTCCCTAATCCCAGCCATACAACCTATCCAGACCTACAGGGGCTGATGACACCCAAGCCCCAGCAGGAAGAATCTCTGTGCTCTACAAAGTGCATACTACACAGCTAGAAATGACTCAGCAGGACTCATTATTCCCATGAGAAACGGGAGACCAACAAATTATAATTTATTTTCCAGGTGGTTTTAGGTAACCCTGTGAAAGGGTCATTCCACCTCTAAACCCCGCACGTCGAGAACTGCTGCTCTAGAAACACAACTGTTTCTAACAAGTGCATCTATCTAGAGGGGAAAGGAGGAGCAAACACTAGGGAACTGAAGCCGAGGAAGGCAATGGCAGAGGTGGTACGTATCCTCAAGAGGGACAAAGTACAATGAGCATTCTGGCTTCTTGGCTCACAGTTACGGTAGGCTGCAGCTTTTCTTCTGTAGACCCAGTGTGAGCACACCACATACAGCTAAGTCAAAGGACAAAGGGAGTAGCGCTGAGTGCACATGAGGCTGCCACACACAGGCCTCCACTGAGTGGCTAACCAGACCCAGGAACAACTGCAGACTACCGCTCCACATTTCTTCTCTAGGTAGGAAAGGCAAGTGAGCTGTCAAGGGAGGCAAACACTTCTATCCTGGAATTTTAAACTTTAGTGGTGACTAGTTCAATTCCCATTCTCATGGTCCATGTTACCCACCTCTTCAAACTGTGAGGACAAAATCTCTCCCTCTGCTGCAAATGTTTACAACACAGAGACTTCAGCAAATCCTGATCTAAGATCAACAGAAGGGAGGTTATTTTCCTCTGCTGCATTTCCCAACTCCAGTAAGAGGCCTTGCCAGTGAGCAAGAGACAAACCCAGCAAGCACGGCTCTTTCCACCACCCAGACGGCAGTGCCCAACCTCCCTGTTCCTGCCTGAGCAAACACAAGCAAAAAATGCAGCTATTTCCAGAGGCACAATCTGGGTGGACAATGATTAGACACGGCATGGCTCACTGCGGGTGAACATGCTTGGAGAAAAGGAACACATTTGTTTCTGCCTCTTACAAGCATCCCTGGAATCCCCAACCTACCCTAACGTCCCATGGGTTCCTTGATTCCCCCAAACCAGAGGATGAATGAAAGAATGGTTATACTAGCTAGCTGCTCTTGTGCATAACTACTTCCTTGGAGCCAAAGGGAGGCAGATTCAATTCGTTCTACCACTTGTGAGTTCAGAGAAAACACTCACTGTCAATAACCTGCTTCACAGAGGGAAATTATCCACAGCTCCAAACCCCATGGCTAACACTTCACTGAGCCATCAACCCGGGTCAATCACACTGTTTCACATATAAACAAGCCTCAGACCAATCAGACATGAGCAGAGAACATGCTTTATTGAGTAGATACAGAAGAGCACATTCTACCACATGTGGGGAAGGGCTCAGCATCTGTAAAAGGCCTTTACCTTTAAGAACCCCCAGTGAAGTGGCTTTTGGATACATTTTAACAGTTACACTGAAACTGGAGGGGAGCTGCCACTGAACATGCTTAAACCAGCTCCCTCCAACCCACAGTGAAGATTCGTAGTGTACAGAATGACAAGAGAAAGGCACAAATGACCGGAGTTAGGGTTGTGGTGAGAGGGTGCCACGTGAAGACAGCAGTGCTGGAGGAGACCAAGTTGGGAAGGGTGACATGTCAGACATCAAAAGCTGCCCCAAGATAGCAGGTTATATACTGGGACAGGGAGAAATTAGAGGGAACATTTCTTCCTTCACTTAACATCACCAAAAATAGGAACCCAGAGAACAGGATGATGGTAGCAAGTCCCGAAAGGGAATGGAGTTAGTTCTTAGAGACAGAAGCACTTCAGCCTGCTGGGGGAGGCACTGTTGGAAAGGGAAGCAAACTGTAGCAGTGTGGCCACTCTGTCTTGCTGAGTCATGGGCTGAGAAACACAAGTCATTTCAACCATTTCCCACTTCTCCCAGGAAGCTCTGGACAAAAATCAGTGCAACTTATGTGGAAAGTATAACTGCCCTATAGCAGATTAGTAAAGACAAGTGTGGAAAGATCCACAGAGTGATCACTTAATGTGGCGGGAACAAAGATGGTTCAAGTATGTTGGCAACTGCTAACATAAAGGGGGGTCAGAGAAAAGTGGGGGCATTTTCTGCTGTGGCAAAAAGAATGAATTACCCATTTTCTTCCAGCAAGATGCTGCCCCAGTGCCCACAAGTAAACACAAAGGAAAACACGGGATCACCACCTCTTCAACTTCACCCCGCCTCACTCAGATGGACCAGGTCCTGTGAACCCCTGGGAAATGTTAGGAGTTTCTACCTCTGATCAGCCTGATCCTGACCAAAGGTGAATCTTTTGACAAAAAGGGAGAAAAGTAAGTGACTGTGAGATAAAACCCAGGTGAGAGGACCCTCCCAACAGACACACGTACACTCAGGTGCTGCCTCTTGCCCACCCCTTCATGAAGAATGTGTGAGGAGTAACTGGAAAGGGCCCTTTGGTGGCAACCATGTTTGGAGGTCTGGTAACCAGGCAGGAAAAAGCACTAGCACAAAGGTCAGGACACAACAAACCTCACGGGGTAAAAGAGCATGAGGAGGGAACCAGTGACTGGACAGGTACAGTACCATAACACAACTCCTTGGGTCAGTGCTATGAGGGATCTGTACTCGAGCCTAATACAGATCCGTCCAGGCAACCTCACTGAGGCCGAAACAACAGTTCCTCAGAACTAGTGTCTGCAGTGTACACGAAGGTTGGAGCCAGAACAGTCCTGAGGGGTGGCCTTCCCAAAGGATACTGTACTTGCCAATCACAAGAGCAACAGAAATGACAGACAGATCCCTAGGGTACGGATTCCTACTGCTGGGGCTCGCTGGCTCGGAATGACAGGTCACTTTAAGTGCCCTTGGGAGGGGTCCATTTTAAGCAGCTTGGATCCATGGTTTTGTTGGAGTTGGACCTTTTGGCCTCTTTGGCTATCCATTCATCTATCAGGTCCTGTGAAGAGTAAGGAAGCAACTATTACACACACACAACTAATACACTTTAAAAAAGATTCCAAAATGACTGGCAACAGATTCACCCACGTCCTAATAATATATTAAAGTACAGGATGATATCTTTAGATTTGCGAAGTTTCCTCTTTATTCCTATTCTGCCTTCAATGAGAACTGTAAATCATTATTCATTTATGCTTATGATGTGTAGGCAACTAAAAATTCAAAATGGACCTAAGCTGAGGTGGCAGTCCACAAAACAACAGTCCTAGAACTTATGAGGACTGGCAGAGATGGGAATAAGTGTAATGCCAGACAAAGCGGATTAGCTTGTGTCCATCCACATCTGACAGAGCTTACCACAAGCTCAGATAAGGACAAGCAGGGAGATAAGCTTAGCAACAAAGGCCATGTGGACTTTGCTGCCAGCTGCAAGGAGGCTAGAAGGAGCTTCCAGTTAAGCCCTCTAAGGGAAGGTAACTGTGGGTAGTGTGGCCCTACTGAGCTCTCCTATTCATTAAGAACACCACAGGCAGCTGAGGAAAATCTCACCTGTCTCTTTAAAACTAGGTGCTTGCCTTTCCAATACTTGAGCATCTGAAGGGCTTGCAGAGTGCTGACAATGTCCACGGGATTCACAGCTGTTTCCTGGCTAATTTCTGTAACAGAGGAGCCACTGAGATCCCAGTGGGAGCAGACTCCCACACCCCATGTCTCCCAAGGCCCCCTTTCATGTAGTTTTCCAGAGCCCAAATCTGAGTTACTTGGGCCAACCTATTCAAATATTTCACCAGTTCAAGTAACTACAAAAAACCAATTTAATGGCAAGAAGCTACTCTTGACCCCTTAGAAATCAAGGTCAAATATGAAACCCCTAAATTCATCCTAAAGGGAAGATGTCTTTCCTAAAATTCACATGTTTCAAAACACTGAATGAATTCTTTCTTCTTGATTTTCAAAAGAAAAGAGGAGCTGGACATAGTAGTGCACACCTTCAATCCTAGCACTTCCGAGGCAGAGGCAGGCAGAACTCTAGAAGTTTGAGGCCAGCCTGGTCTACACAGTAAATTCCAGGACAGCCAGGGGTACAAAGAGAAACCCTGACTCAAAAAACAAACAAACAAATGATATATATGCTTGTGTATGTATGTATGTATGTATGTATTTTATGTGGATGGGTGTTTTGCCTGGATGTATGTCTATGAACCTATCTATGTGTGCCTGGAACTGGAGTTCCATATGTTGTGAGCCACAATAAGGGTGCTATGAATTGAACCCAGGTCCTCTGGAAGAACAGCCAGTGCTCTTAACCACCAAGCTATCTCTCCAGGTCTTTCTCTTCCATTTTATATGAATTAAATGCTAACAACTCCAGACAGAGACAACAACACTTTAGAACCATTCCCAGGACCTTCAGCTCTGCAGTGACAGTCTCTGCAGTGCTTCCTTGTCAGTCGGAATAAACAGAATGGGGGCCACAGTCATGGAGTGCAACCTACCTTTGATGGAGATCTCCTTGCCCTGGAAGTTGTGTAGGTACCGAAGCAGTACCTCCTTCCAGTAGCTGCGGTAGCTTATGAGCCCCAGGTCGGACAGTGGGCGTTCTGGAGAGCCGACTTTCTCTTCTACTTTGGAAAGTAAATAACCTACCAAGAAAAAACACAGATATGGATTCTGTTGTTTTCATTTGGGAAGAGGGCCTTAAAAATCATATTTACTTATTTTATGTGCGTGTTGGTGTAAAGATAAAAAACCAACTTGCAGGAGTCAGTTCTCTCTATCATGTGGGTTCTGGGGACAGAACTTAGTCCTTATCCAGGCTTTAATCACTGACCTGCCTCACCACCCTTGGGTGAGGGTGCTCTGCTGAGAGAAGGTCTCATATGTAGTGTCAGTTGGCCTATAAAGCAGAATATAGATCCTGGAGTGAAAATGTCCCCACCGATTCTGCCTCCCTAGTGTTGGGAAGCCCAGCTAGACTTTTTAAGCAACATTAAACCTGATCCTAACAGGAAAAACCAGTATGCAAACACAGAAGAGTTAAAAAGAATACCTGCTTTAGAGTACCAGAGAGCCAGCCATTCAAAAGAGCATGTTCTGTGTGACTGCTGGGGACATACTGGCTGTGATGGTTTGTATATGCTTAGGCCAGGAAGTGGCACTAGTAGGTGTGGCCTTGTTGGAATAGGTGTGTCACTGTGGGTGTGGGCTTCAATACCCTAGTGCTAGCTGCCTGGAAGTGAGTCTTTCACTAGTAGCCTTCAGATGAGGATATAAAACTCTCAGCTCTGCCAGCACCATGCCTGCCTAACTCCCACCTTGATGATAACAGACTGAACCTCTGAACCTGTGAGCCAACCCCAATTAAATGTTGTCCTTATAAGAGTTGCCTTGGTCATGGTGTCTGCTCACAGCAGTAAAATCCTGACTAAGACACTGGCTTTTTATAAACAGGAGTGGAAGAATGCGTAATACAGTGCATCTAAGAGCCCTGTAACAGGCACCTAGAACCAAGCCTGGAAGCCTTCACTAGGAGCTTTAATAGTATTGCTTCTCTGGAGGTGATGGCTAAGAACAGAAATGGAAGTTCTTTTCTGCACTGTCTCCGTCTCAAATGGGATAATCCTGCACAGCTTACTTTATTATTCCCTGCACCTCCTACTAATTCAGCAATAACTCACTTCCCCACCCTTGCTCATTCACTAACTGGCTGTGACTACATGTCAGGAACTGTCAAGAGCACAGGACACAAGTGACCAACCCCATCCCCTCGGGGTCACAGCCTGGGGAGCCGACACTCAGCAACATCACTTACTGAAGTCAATGAGCATCTTCCCATAGCCCTGTCTCATGTACTGAGGCATGGTGAGGATACAGGAGACATTGTAGTTGAGAAATGAATTCTTCTCCTAAAATCAAAAACAGAACAGCAGATAATGAGGCACAGCTCGCCTACTATAAAAAAAGGAAACCAAACTGAATTCCCCTGGAAGGTCAAAATACAACCAAATCACATTATTACCTGCTTATAAAATATCCAGAATAAGCCAATTTGTAGGCAGAAGAGGCAGGAAGGGTCAAGAAGGGTCAAGGGACAGACTACCAATGTTTCTTTTTAAAAACTCTGAGGACTGCACTAGTCATACAACTCTGTCAATATACTAGAAGCCATTTGCCCTGGATAGTTTAAGTGATGAATTATACGATACACTGTATTTTGTTTTAATTAAGTTGTTACATTCCATTTAGTGCTCATAACCATAGCAGTGGTGGCCTTTAATCCCTGCACTGAGGAGGCAAAAGCAAGTGGATCTCTGTGAGTTCTAGGCCAGCCAGGATTAGGAGACCCTGCCTCAACACAATGAAAGAAAACCATAAGCTAGATTTGGTCTTACATCTTTTAAAGCCAAGAGTACTATCACTAACAGGACTAGCTATGCTAGAACGAACCCTGCTGGAGAACAAGCAACCAGAATATGTTCCTGGTTTGAACCTAACATGGAGGAAGGCAAAGCTAGAAGTATTGGCTTAACTATAAGATGTGTTTTAAATTCACAGAAAGGGTCCAGGCCAGTACTTAACAGCTTCAACCCACAAGCACAGAAACCAGAACCTCCTAGTGACAGTATCAGCTGGGTGTCCCAGCTCATGTCTGTAATCCCAGCACTTTGGAGGTTAAGGCAGAAGACTCTTCTGGGTTTGATGCCAGTCTAGGCTGCACAGGGCTCCAGGTCAGCCTAGATAACAGAGGACGATCCTGAACTGAATACTGTCAGGAAGCTACCTATGGTACAAGCTTGCCTTTCTTATTTTGCCTATGGGAAGGCTCTCACTGTCGTCTGCTTCCTCATCAGAGATCTGAGCCCTCCAATGCCAATGGCCGTAATTCTGCTGCAGTTATTAAGCTGCTAAGTCACCAGATCCTGCTGACCTTAGAAAAATACCCAATCAGATGACAGCCAGTATTGTCCGCTTCTGTCATAACGTAGAACAGGAAAGGTTCTACATCATAGTATAACGTCTTATGGTCCAGAAAAAGCTTCGCCAAAAGGCAGAGGTTTTGGCAATAGATCTGGAAGCAGAAAGAGAGTTTGTGTGGAGGTCAGTGACTTCTGAACTCACTCAAACCAAAGTCTAGAAAGAATGATCATACCAATACTATCCATGAAATAAACTAATTCCTATCTCCCTCACAAATGTTTTGTGAAGACAAAACCTTCCTCTGGAACCCCACCAACGCATCTCCTTCTTTCAAGTCCCCACTCTTTACCTTGTTCTTCTTGCCATCTACTTCAAACACAGAGATGGAGCCTTTGCGGTAAATCTCATCACCAGGGGGGTGTTTCCACACACACTTGGCCTACGAGAGAATGGAGTTCACATGAAGCAATGAGATTTTCTGACCACCCTGCTCCTTCACTGGGAAAAGGAACCACAAGGTAAATGTGGTTAACTGAGTTAATGGAAAGCTGAATACACTTGAGGACAGTGGAATCAATTGTTTTCAGAAAAGTTCAAGCTTTCTTAAGCTGTTGCAATATATCTCAGGATATATACGGCTGTTTGGCTCAAGTTTTCTGGATTATATTTGGCATTATCTCAGCCCAAGATATTAAATCACCTACTACGTAAAAGCTAGATAAATAAGAATATCCTTGCTTACAATAAAATATCACATGTCAACAGGAAGTTCTTAAGCAGCTTAGTGTTGCTAAGTATGTTACGCTCACCTCTGCCAGTCACTTCCCATTCCCGCCCTTCCGCCATCATGTGCCTGCACAGTAATGAGCATCCCGAGCCGCTCACTGTCTGCCCACCTCCTGCCATATGCTAGATAAAGAGAAAATCCTTCTACGGTTCATTTTAAAAGGTAGGAGACCTGGCTGAGCAGCAGGAAGCTGAAAGGCACTGGGTTCCAAACTCTTTTCCTTATCCTCAAAATGTTCAATTCATGATGCTGGAGCTAGCACCCAGCATCTTAGGCAGCAATCCAAGTTCTCTTCTACTGAATTAAGCCCTGGCCCTGCAAGCGAGAAGCCGAAGCAGGTTCAGGTGTTTGCTGCCAAGCCTGATGACTCAAACTCAATTCTGGGAACCTCCATAGTAGAAGAGAACCGACTGACTCCCACCGGGTTCTCTCATCTTCACATGGGTGCTATGGTGTATATGTACATGTGCATACAAGCATGGATGTTCACACACATACATACACAAAGTTTACATTTACATATATAGAAAATTTCTTATTAAACAATTTTCTACATCTTTTTGACAACTTAAAGTTTCACTGGACATAGTGGTTGGTCCACATTGGTCATGTGAGCACTCGAGAAAAGCAACTATTTGAAACAAAAATCACATACACATCCTCTAAGAATTCTATTTCAGGTTTAGGAATATAGCTCAGTGGTATAATACCCAGTAAGTGTGAGGCTGTGTCCCCTACTTAGCTGGGGGCTGTGGGGGTGGGGTGGGGACATGGCATGCAGGCATGGATATCATGTTCTAATTATCACACATAACTAAAAACATGTATTAACTGGAATTGTTTCAAAGCTCCATCTATATTCCTATCTCCTCCCATTATTTCTGCTGTTCTTTCCATGATAACCAAATTAATGCAACAACTATTTGTTTAAAAACATTACCCAAGCCAAAGAAGCCATTTCAGTGATTACCCCCCTAAAGCAATGGAGAGAAGGAGCTTGTATTTCCTCAAACCAGACTTCCATACTCATAGAAGTCACCAGAGCCAGGTATGCACATCCTTTCCCATTTTAATATACAGAATGTTAAGAAATGCAAACTGTTATTTTCATCATCCATTAAAGGTAGATATCCCTTGTAATATGCATTCATTCACAGACACCCACCATCTAATTAATATATGAGCCATAATCCCCTGTTCTATGTAATAAAATATATGTTTCCAGTGAGTGTGGTACAAACACAAACTGTAGGGAGAGGTAATTCATATGCTGAAGAAGAAACAAAAGACAAAAAACAAGAAGAAGAAGAAAAGAGGAAGAAGAAGAGAGGAGGAGTAGGAAGAGGAGGAGGAGGAAGAGGAGAAGAAGAAGAAGAAGAAGAAAGAGAGAAGAGGAGGAGAAGGAAAAGGAGGAGGAGAAGGAGGAGAAGGAAGAGGAGGAAGAGGGAGGAGAAGAAGAAGAGAAGAGGAGGAGGAGGAAGACATCTATGGACAGGATGTAGTTAAGATGCTAGGCATCACTGGTCCTGGCAGAGTTACCCAGAAATGTGACTTTCAGTCAGTTCCTTAAGCCTCCATCCTATTGCTGTGGACACTTGGGAGATGTCATCTTTTGATACTTATGTTATCTCTAGAAAGTAACATCACCCGCATGAGTTGAACTCAAGAAAACCTACCATGTGTCGTCGGAGTATTGTTTGGCTCTTCATGTATTTCAAACAGAATTCACACATGTAGAGACGCCCCAGCCGCGCATACTCTTCAGGATAGGGAGAATGGTACCAAGTATCCAGTTCATATCGACCAAAGGCAATTGTTTTAATCATGTTGCTTCCCTCTGTGATTTGGCCTTGAAGCCTTAACTTCTCCTATTAGCAAGAAGAAAACACAACATTTAGGATCAGAAGTCCTTATCTTTGGTTTTAAAATTAGATTTTTAGCTACATAATGTAAATGGATGTTTTGTTTGTGCACAAGCATTTGTGTGTGTGTGTGTCTATACCTCACAGGTGTGCCTAGTGCCTGCAGAGATCAGAAAAGGGCATGAGATGTCAGGGAACTGAAGTCATAGGCAGCTGTGAGCCACCACATGGGCATAGGGAACTGGAAGTGGTTTCCTGACTACTCTTACTCTTAGAAACTTCTACCAGGCTGGCAGCTAAGCTATAAAAATAATTAGCTAGATTTGGCCTCTATGCATAGATGGCTACTAATGCATTACTTGAGCATGGAAAATCAGACAACGTGCCAGCTGTACTGCCCAGGTTTTTGTGTTTTGAGCAAACCTCAATTGAGGATGACCTTGAACTCCTGAATTCTCTGCCTTCATTTCCAGAGACCGTGGTCTCAGGTATGCGCCACCACAGCAGATTTGTGTGGTGCTGGAGATGGAGCCCAGGGTGTCCTGGATCCCAGACAGCCACACTACAAAAGAGCTATAGTTCCAGCCCATTTCTGTTTTCATTTTTAATTTTTTTTTTTTCCCTTCTGAGACAGGGTTTCTCTGTGCAGTCCTGGCTGTCCTGGAACTTACTCTGTAGACCAGGCTGGCCTCGAACTCTTGAACTCAGAAATCCGCCTGCCTGTCTCCCAAGTGCTGGGATCAAAGGCGTGCGCCACCACTGCCTAGCTTCGTTTTTTATTTTTAAATACATTTTTAGTTATAGTGTGTGTATGTAAAGACAAGCAGAGGTCAGAGGAAAGCTTGTGGGGAGTCAGTTCTCTCCTTCTGGAGATCGTGAGGCTCTCCAGGCTTGAACTCAGGTCTGTCGGCGGCTACCCTCCTGGTCCTCCCTGACCTCACTAGGGCTAGGATCGCAAGTGCACGACAGGCAATTACTGTTTGGAGTAGCCAGCTGGCCTTCGGCAATGATCTTCATGATGAAAAACAGAAGCAGGTGGTGGCAACCAATAAATATTCCAGACCAGAGCTGCCACCAAACCTGTCTCCTGCAACCCAAATAATAAAAGGAAGGAGGGGAACGGGAGGAAGGATGATAGGGAGAGGGGGAGCAGTGAGCGGGATGTAAAGTGAATAAGTAAAAATAAAGAAATAAATTTTAAAAAAAGGAAGGAGGGGAGGAAATGGAATTAACACTACAAACTAAATTTCCCTGAGCACATTTAATTTGTTTTATCATAGGTAAAACCAGTTGCTGAAACTGTTTTTCTAGGCCAGCCACACGTACTGTATCAAAAGCAAACAAAAAAGAGTGTTTCTGCCTAAATCTCTCATGCACCCATGATCCCAGTTTCAAATTTGCTGGGGAAACAAGATGAGATCCCCTTACCAAAAATCAATAAATTCAACAACATATCTGACTGTAGTCCTCACCATTTTTCTTTGCTGCTATTTACATGATTTTAGGGTAAATGTATTGAAATGGAAAGCAATCCTACAAAGAGGACGGTGCTGCAGCCCCCAAGTCCTAGGTTCTCAGACTGTACATTCTACCCCACAGAGAGAGAAGAAAGGCACCTACAAAACTAAGCTTTAATCACCCTCACCCAAACCTCAAGCCAAACTGGATCTTCCACTTGAGGGATAGAGAAGGGAAGGGTGAGAAGAGATAAATCCATGTAAAGGAGAAGACTGCCTCTAAAGCCAGCTAGAGAGGTCCTTAGACTGGCTGCTAATCACTTGTCTTGGCAGTTCTAAGGGCTTTTCACAAGGGTCTTCCCTCATCTCGGGGGTTCCGATACTCACCAAATCTTCAGAAGCCCGGGCTTGTGCTCTTCGGAAAAGATCTAAGTCATATTCACTTGTCAGATTTTCCAAGAGAGGCTCCCGAGTGTTCCCATAGGTCTGTCTGTGTTCCTAGAAAAAAAATACCCAGGGGGTGATACTGTCTGTGTAGAACTTGGTTTATTTCATTCCAATGAAAGCCAAGCTGAATCAGATGCTTGTTACTTACAGAGTACCTATCACTGGGTGCCGGGGACTGAGGTCAGGCAAACTGGTAACCCTTATGTGGCATAATAGATCCTAGAATCCTACAGCTGGCCAGCTCAAGTGTGGCAAGCACAGCTCTGGCAGGCCTTGGCCTTCTCCCTCATTCTCTCTGCCTTGCTAAAAACCATTAAATTACATTGCTTAAGCTAGCCACCAAGGTCTATTCCCTTATTTGGCCACTTCTTCCTCCTGAGGCTGACTACCAAGGTCCGGCTATCAATGTATTTTTAGTCCAGAAATCAAAACCCCTCTTTGGTTCACCTAATTAACATGCCCAGTCATAACATACTACCAATATTCTAGGCCATTCTAACACAGCCCTCCTCTTGTTCTCTTCTTAAAATTACACCTGTCTGGTTTTCTGCCTGAGTCAGAAAGCAGTCACTTTAACGTTTCTTCCCTGATTAATAAAGGTTATCTCTGTGAAAATAGGTGTTCGGGTGTGGTTTGTGCCTAATCCAGGTTGCTGTGTGTGTGGTGTGAGGGTCTCCTTCACTGATGACACTCTAACAAAGAAGCAGGTACTTCAAGCATTAGTGCTTGAAGATGCTGCCTTGAAGAAAACTCTCAAGCAAGGAAGGGAGGGCAGCTGGACTAGTGGGTCCCTGGAAACTGCTTCTGACATTACTTCACTGACTGCCCAACTTGTAAGGTCAAGTCAAGAGCACAGGGAAAGCAGCTCCTGGAGTGTTTACCAACTGTTAAACATCAAGAAAAATTAAAAATAATTAAAACCATAAAAAGAATCCAGTTTTAAATTAACTTTCAAACCTTACCAAGCCTCCTTTCCCTGGATGGAAGGAATTAAGGAAGGGAGGGGGGGAAGACTTCTCTTTAAAACTGATTTTAGCCTCTCCCTTTCTGCTCGAGGCTCCACCTCCCTCAGAAGAGGAGATAATGGGAGTTATGAGAAGTAGAAGACTCGTCCCAGGAAGAACATTTTACACGCTACCAGACACGAGCATCTAAGGAAAGCACTCACCTTATGAACATTTCCTATGGCTAATGTGGTTCAATCTGTTGTATCTCCTTTTGAAATTTGGTCTTTGTGACTTAAGACTTAGGTTCTAAGTATTACTGACTTCTTCTGGTTTTGAAAATAACAATGCATCTTCCCCTTTCTCATAGTTGAAAAAGGATCTCATGTAGCCAGCCCCCTGCCTCCACTTCCCAATGCTGGGATTACAGGCATGCCTGAAACCACAGCACTGGAGAATCAAACTCTACATATCCTGCACACAAGCAAGCGCTTACTCAACCGACCGAGTCACTTCTCCAGACCAAAAACAAAACCCAACTAGCCAGGGCTGGTGTCACACCCCTGTACTCCCAGAACTTGGAAGGGGCAGAATCAGTTTAAGGATATCCCTAGCCATATATTAGCAAGTTCAAGACCAGCCTCCTCCATGAGACCCTATTCAAAAAGCAAAATGTAAGCAACAAGAAAAACTTCTATCTAGCATTTTTTAAATAGGAAAGACCCAAATAACCTATCTCACGCTGGTGAAAAGCATGTCTGAAAGATTAAACAGCTAGACAGCATTTACGTCACTCTTTTTACCTGTATTAATTTGAAGATTTTCTAAGCCCTTTCCCAGAGTAAACAGAATCATCCTATAGGATTGTCACCTGGGGGAAGAGTGTATCACAGCCTCACAGTAAATGACATAATTGTGTTCCCACAACTCTCGCCTTACTTAATTTACTAACAATGAACAGACAGGGGCAAGTATGCATCCTGACCTGACAGCTCACTACCAGAGACCTCTACCTAGTCTATAAAACCAGCAGTCTGGCATTGCTTAGCCATGTGTTTAGCTATAGAATCTAATCTAAATTAAAAAACAAAAGCAAAAAACAAACAAGCAAAAAACTGGACTTAAACTCATGGCCTCCCTGTAGGTGTGAGTCACCACTCCTGACTACTTTTTCTGTTTTGTTTTTGAAACAGAGTTTTGCAATGCTGCCCAGGGTGGCCTCCAGGCATAGACGGTCATGTCTGGCTATATTTCAGTAAAAAACATGTATTAATACACTTCTAGTAAAAGTAAATTTTTACCTAAAAGGCTATCTGTATGCAGAAAAGTTTTAAAGATTTTAACATGAGGACATTAGTTCAAGATCTTTTAAGTGAGAAGACAGACAACTAGGTGGTGTGGTTTAACGAAGAAAATGATGATGAATATTTTTTAAAAATTTTATGTGCATTGGTATTTTGTCTGCATGTATATCTGTGTGTGTGAGATTCCCTGGAACTGGAGTTTAAGACAGTTGTGAGCTGCCATGTGGATGTTGAGAATTGAACCTGGGTTCTCAGGAAGAGCAGCCAGTGTCCTTAACCTTTGAGCCAGCTCTCCAGACCCTAAAAAGGCAATTTATATAGTTAAAATAAAAAGCTAAAAACTTGATAAAATGCTAACTGTGGCTATTTTTAGGTAGATTAATCTTCTGTATTTTTTTTTTTTTCCCGAGACAGGGTTTCTCTGTGTAGCCCTGGCTGTCTTGGAACTCACTCTGTAGACCAGGCTAGCCTTGAACTCTCAAACTCAGAAATCCTCCTGCCTCTGCCTCCCAAGTGCTGGGATTAAAGGCGTGCACCACCACTGTCTGGCCTGTATGGTATTCCTAACTTTTCCTTATTATTATAAAATGTATATTACAGTTAAAGTTAGTTCTTGGATGTTCATCTGTATCCCTAGGCCCTGAGTGTCTTATCTTATGCAGCCATTTCTAATGTCATTGGTATCTGTTCTAATAGGCAGATTTGCCTCCCTGCCCCAGTACTGCAGATTGAACCTAGCCCCTGTGCACATGCTACTACTACTGTGTATATGACCAGGAGTTTATTTTTCATTTGGGACTGGGTCCTGAAAAGTTGCTGAGGCTGGCCTGCACAATACCTGGTAGTCTAGTAGGCCTGGACATCATCATCCTTTTGCCTCCGCCTTCAGAGTAGCTGAGGTTACAGAGCAGCACCATCAGGCCCCCTTAAAAGTAATTATTTAAAACGACAGTGAAAGGATTCTACCAACTGAGCTGTATCCCTAGACCTAGAAGGATGGAAGTCTCAAAAACACCAACTCTACTGCAACTGTATAACCCTGGGCTCACTCAACAGCTCCAACCTGTGTGAGGGTACTAGGGGACAGAAGAGAACCCCAGAATTCACTGGATGCTCTCCCGTAGAAAACAGCTATGTGATCTGACAGGCAGAAGCTCCAGTGGGAGTTCAGTCGTGGATTTTTTCCTCACCATATATTTCTCTTTCTGCTCTTTGCTCAGTCCAGAATTTCTTTTCTTCCTGAGTTCAGCCACCTTTTCCTTATACCGCAGCTGTCTCTCTGTTGGTGCCTAAAAGAAAAACAAAACTGAGCATCTAGCTAGAAAACTCCAAGTTTCAAAATACCAATTTTTTAACTTTTTTTTTTTTTTAAAGACATCCTCTCATATAACCCAAACTGGTCTCAAACCTAGAACTTCTGATCTTGTGTCTACCTCCCAAGTACGGAGATTAAAAATCCAAGCTGCCATCTCTTTTTTTTTTTTAAGAGAAAGAGAGAGAGAGAGAGAGAAAGGGTCTTCTCTATATAGCCCTGGCTGGCAATCCTTCCTTCTTGGTCTCTAGAATTACAGAATTATAACCATGGGCCACCATACTGAACTTAAAATTTGTCTCTAAAGAAAACAATTGTCACAGTACAGAAACAGTACAGCCACACATCCAAACCACAGTTCTTACTGCCCATTCAGGAATGCAGATTTATTTTAATTAGTATGAAAGCATAAAAATCATAATGGAGGAGAGAGGAGCACTGTGACTCTTGTTTATAATCCCAACAGAAGCAGAAGGATTGCTACAAATTCCAGTAAAACCTGTAAGGGCTATATAACAAGATTCCCATTTAAAAAGAATTGCTGGGTGGTGGTGGCACATGACTTTAATCCCAGCACCTGGGAGGATCTCTGAGTTCAAGGCCAATCTGGTCTACAGAGTAAGTCTCAGGACAGCTAGAGCTACACAGAGAAACCCTGTCTCAAAAAACAAAAGGGGGGGGATGGGGGGATGGGATAATATCTGAAATGTAAATAAATAAAATATCCAATTAAAAAAAAAAGGATCAATTACACACTGCTTTTGCCTGCCAAGCACTAAGGTTATTTATTATACACGTGTTAGATGACTACCTGGACAGGTGGGCATTATGTACTCCTTCATATTAACAAAGAAATGTAGTTTACAAGCCGGCTGGCCCAGGACAACACAGCTAGGTAAGAGAATCAGAGTATTCAGATCCAGATGTTCAGCTCTAAAGGCAACCTTACCACTGTGTCTCCTCTGCTAGCCACCTCTAATCTACCTGTAGAAACAGACACTCTGATGATGAGCTATGACTAAAGGCCGACGTCTGGGGAAAAGTATATGAGAAGAATTCATGAGAAGAAGATTACTGACTGTGGGAAAAGATCTTGGAAGAATTCCTGTAAGAGCTAAGACTCGCTCAAGGCCTTGAAGGATATGTATGTAATCTCTTCTTGGTAATGGTATAGAGTTCTCAGAAAGATCAAAGCTATTTTGAAGGCAGCAAGGAGTTAAGTGCAATCTACACAGGCTTAATGTTCAGAAAGGATGATTAGGACAGAGCAAGGATGCTTTCTGCAAATCACAGAAAGACAGAAATAGAAACTGGCCCAGCTGACAAGTGTCAAATACTGAGGAAATGCCACTGGTGATGTTGAAAATACGCAAAGTCAAAGGTGCTTGAAAGCCAACACAACAGGTTAGAGTCAGGATGCAAAATGAGGAAATGGAAGCACAATGGAACCTTTCAAAATAATAAAAATATTTTACACTATTACTTAATACCGCTACTATTATTACAAATAGCTTAATTCCTCCACTTATAAGATAGAAATGTCTGCTTCATGAAAAATTACAAGTTGAAAACCCAAACATGATTTCAAGTTGATGTCTGGAAAACCAGAGATTTTGATTTGTCCTGGAAACAAAAGGCACGGATTTGCCTATGAAGACAGTTATGGGGCAAAGGAGATCCCAAAAGGCAGATCTCAAACTGGCTGGCCAGAGCTTTCACAAGGCCCATACCTGGTGCCTGGTTGCATGCCTGTTGTTGTCATCTTGCCTGTGGGACAGCATCCTTTCTTCTATCTGCTTATCCCGGCTCTGTGCTCTCACCTGCAACCATCAACAACGTCAATAAATCCACCTGCTTCTAAGACTACATTTACTTAAGCAAAAGAATTTGTGATAATCCCTGCATTTGCACTGTACTTTGAATGTAAAAGTATTCTTACTATTGATTATTGCTATCTCTATTAGAAAAAGATGAGGCAGGCCCCACACAGTGCTTTCTCAGCCACTAAATACCAAAGAACTGAAATGATCACAGCTAAACATTGTAAAGCTGAGACTTTTGCTTAAATGACTCTGGCCTGGAGTTCTACTATGCTGATAGGAAACTGTGAAGAACAAGGGAGTAAGGAAGTATGAAGAAAACATTAGAAAGATTCTGGGCTCAGGATGGGCACAGTGATATCTGCCTGGAGTCCTTTTGAGGAGGCAGGCTGACGCAGCTGAAGAGTTCAAGACCAGCCTATGTAGCACAGGGATACCAGATCCTGCCTGGAGGGCTGGGAAAGGGAAGGGGAAATGAGCAAAAGCAAAGAGGAAGGGGAAACCCCGACTTCAAGTCTACAAGGAAACAACTATAGACACAAGACCTCAGAGAAAGCACACTGCATTCCTTAGTTTCCCTTCCCCTCTGGGAACGGACACCCCACATCTACCTGCCTACTGCCTACTAGGTTGTGTCATTGAGCAGGCTCAAGGTGGAATAACCAACAGTCCTCCCACATCTGCTCCACTCCACATCTGTCCACTACCAACAAACAGTGTCATCTCAACAGTAAGCATGTCAAAACGTGGATGGAATCCTTCATTTCTTTTTCTCCCATCTCTACACTGAGCCCTTCTCTTACTAACTTCCTCTCCTTCAGAACTCATCCCAAATCTAATCTTATGACATTTCACCAATACAGCACTGGTCCAAGCTATCATTTACTGCAAGAGCTTCTAAGCAGGCTTCCAATACACCTATCCTGTGCCATCTCTTTCTTCATAGTTGTTCTCTACATGCTAAGTAGCTGTTGTTTCAAAGACATATTCTTCCTCTGCCTGAACCCTCTAAATGCTTCCAACTGCTCTCAGAATAAAGCATAATCCTGTGCTCAAGATTTCCATCCTTTATGATCTGAATCCCCCTGCTTCATTCATTTCCCATCATGTTCCAATCATACAACTTACCTTCAAATGCAACCGTCTACCCCCAGCTCACGGCCACTGCACTTACGATTCTGTCTCCTTTACCTCTCCCCACTCCGGGGTCTTTTATACATTGCTACTTTGACAGCATCCATGTCTAGATCCTATGCCAATCTCATGTGGCTTCCTTCACCTCCTCTAGCAAAAGCAGTATGTTAGCCTCCTCTTGAACACAGTCCCTCTCTTTCTCTATTGATTTCTCATGGTGTTTATCACTACATAAACTGATATTTACAGGTTTCCCCGTGGGTATATAAACTCCTTGATTGCAGGTGTCTTTTAAGACAATAGAAAGGTTTACTGGGAAATTCGAGAGCAATCATGCACACGAAGGTAGTTTAGAATTGAAGAACTTCCGTAGGCTAGGGAGGCAGCTAGCGTGTACAAGGTCTGGTTTCTAGTGCCTTCCTGCAAGCACATGGTCCAGTAGTAAAGTATGGCTGCCACTAGTCTCAGTTCCCCATACAGGACAGAGAAAACTACAGAAATAAAGGAACAGGAATGTGTTTCTTTATTTGGGATTTTCTTCCCTGGTCTGAAATTTCTCAAATAAACTGCTTAAGGTACTTAAGGTATAGACATTGCTTCAGGCCATGATCTTCAAAGTCACACTTCAAGAAGACTGATGCAAAACGAAGCACTATCAGATCAGATCAGATCGATAGGTTTAGAGACAAGTGGTAGAGAAACATTATGAAAATACCGTCACAATAACTACCACAGTTATTTTCAGGGGAGGAAGTACAAGTGTTTGGTCAGGTTCTGAATCAGGTGCTAACACAGTCATGCCTGCAGTCATCCAGCTTAAGAGAGTGGAAAGACAACAGGAAGGGCTGACACAGAAGGCAAGCTGTCTCATACAGAAAGACTTGGAATAAAGACAAAAAAGCACGGTCTTTGGCAGAAAAATACATGTAAGCATTTCATGTTTCACTCGGTGAAAATCTAAACGTGTGAAGAAACACTCTCCCAACCCCACCCTGAGACCTTGTATATTAGAACAAGTTCCTGAATCAAGGAGAACAGGAAGTTGAATTCTTTTCCAAATGAGACTTGCTCATACAAGCATAAACCTGTGACCCAGGCCTTGTGAGCAAAAGAACAACAAAAAAGCAACTAACACTCTGGTGTAGTCAAAGCACTTAGTTTGGATAACTTGTCAAAGACTACCCGAGTCTACATAATTACTATCTGTAACTCTTGCTTCCCCATAATTAACTGTGATTCCATCCTTGGTAGCTGTAACCCACGCAGGAATGCACAAAAGAGGACCTTAGGCTGTGGTCTCAAACATACCATCCAAGTCCTGAAGGTTATTTAGGAACTGTGTTTTTAAAGAACTAAAAGAACTAGCCAAGAATAGATGTGACTGATAGAAACCAAGAGGAACAGGATATGCAGAAATGAAGAGAAGAGGAACACTGGAAAATTGTGAAAAAGCAAAACAACTTAATGGATTTGTTAAGAGAGCCTGAGGTAGAACAGGGACTCAACTATCTATGCAAATTCTGCCTGCCGTAAAGATTCGAGGATGCGCCCTGGGAGGATATGCAGTCAGTCACCAAGGCAGTGAATGCGACAAGGGGTGAAGCTCCTGATACTCTAAAGATAAATCTCCCTATTCTTCATAAACACTCATTACATATTACAATTCTTTTATATGCTCATGTAGTTAGCTTTTGTTAAAAAAAAAACAAAAGCTTTCTTTCCATTGCTTTCTCCACTGACATGTAAGAATAAGACCTTGCCCCCCCTCGCTTAATGTTGTACCCCGAGTGCTTAGCAAAGTGCCGGTCACGTAGCAAGCACTTGAGCACACCCTGAATGAAGGAACACACATTACCTTGCATTCATCAGCTGAGAGGTTATGATAGAGCGGGCATCCTGAGATGGAGAAATGTCTCTCGTGTTTTCCTGTAAGGTGTCCTGTAAAAGGAGGGAAATTTTGATTTCCAGGAAGAACATGAACACTTAAAAAGTGAGATTCTTGACAAGGCCATTTTACTAAATAACTGTTTGCCAACAGAGCTGCTGTGAAGACCACAACTGGTACCCTCATGTACTGTTTTCTTCCACAGAGAGGCAGTCTTTGAGATATACTTAGGTTTACTTTTTGAGGCAGGGCCTCACTGTGTAGTTCTGGCTGGCTTGAAACTCACTATGCAGACAAAACTGGCCTCTGCCTACTGAGTGATGGGATTAAAGGTGTGTTAGCCTGGCTAACAAAGGGGTTTAATACCATCCTCTGAGATAAAGGCTAGCCTGGTCTACAGAACAAGTTCCAGGACAGCCAAGGCTACACAAAGAAATCCTGTCTCCAAAAAACAAAAACTTTTGTTAAGTTAATCCAGATTTAGAAATTTGAAAAAAGTATACTACTCTTTCCCACTATACAAACTATCCTACATTTCACTCCTTTTAATAATTAAAAAGAAATTCATTAAAAACTAGCCATTTCTACAGTATAGAAACATTTTGATAATTCGGAATATGATTCAACATATTTTGTTTTGTTTTCAGATTTATTTTTATTTTACTTATGTAAGTACACTGTAGCACACTGTTCAGATACTATACAGAAGAGGGCATCAGATCCCATTACAGATGGTTGTGAGCCACCATGTGGTTGCTGGGAATTGAACTCAGGACCTCTGGAAGAGCAGTCAGTGCTCTTAACTACTGAGCCATCTCTCCAGCCCCTTTATTTTGTTTTTGGAGACAGGGTTTCTCTATGTAACTTTGGCATCCTGGAACTTGCTCTATAGACCAGGCTATCCTCAAACTCAGAGATCCACATGACTCTGCCTCAAGTGCTAGGATTAAAGGTGTGTGCCAATACTGCCTGGCTCAACACACTTTTTTTTTTTATTTAATGTATGAGGGCTTGGTTACATATACATCTGCATGGCAGAAGAGAGCATCAGATCCCATTACAGATGGTTGTGAGTCACCATGTGGTTGCTGAGAATTGAACTCAGGACCTCTGGTAGAGCAGTCAGTGCTCTTAATCGATGAGCCATCTCTTCAGCCTGAAGGATAACTATTTAAAGATTTGAACTTCTACAACTAAACTCTAAGATAGGACAATCAGCATAAGGCCTTCTTAAGGAAAACACTAGGGATGACACAGGAAGCTTACTCTAACTAAAGAACAGTCTTCCTCTCTCCCTCTTTCGTTCTTTTTGTTTGTTTGTTTTGTTTTTTTAAGCATTATTGGAATGGAGATGGAACCCACGGCTTGAGCCATGCTAGACAAGCACGCTACCACAGAGCTACATGTTTGTCCATTCTAATTTATTTTTTTCCTTCCTTCCTTCCTGAGACAGGGTTTCACTCTGTAGACCTGGCTGCCCTGGAACTCACTCTGTAGACCAAGCTGGCCTTGAACTCACAGAGCTCTGTCTGCCTCTGCCTCCCAAGTGCTACAATTAAAGGTGGTGGTCCACCACTAACCGGCTGGATAGGCACTATCATCATTGTCATTATTTATTAGTATTACTGTTGTTATTATTGTCGTTACTAAAATGTATGCTGAGAGGACATCTGGAAACGGTTCTTCCCATATACCTTTTTTGTTTGTTTATAATTTATTAAAATTTATTATTATAAAGAACCTGCATACAAAAAAACCCACACAAGGAATAACCAGACATCTCAAATTAATTTCTGTACAGTCAGAATAACCAATCTGAAGCTGTGGAACTTCACATTGAGTTTTACACTTTCACTATCAAATATATACACTTATCTTCAGACAAACAAAAAAAGAAATCCCAAAATTAAAACTAGAAACTTAGCTTTGTACTTCCTTCCTGGCTCAGGTGCCCATTACTTGCATTCAGTTCTTCACATCATATTTATCCTCTCTCGTTCTCCTTTCTACACATCACTTTGTGTTCATATGTACATTTGTTCACATGTATAGTGTGTTTATAAGGTCTACAGATGAAGGGAACATGAGAATTTTGTTTGTTTTCCTTTTGATTTCCACCTTGTTGAGACAGGATGTCTCTTTGTTTTGGGTGCTGTGTAACAGTACTCCTGGCTCTGCCTATTCTATTTCTGCCAATTTCAGGGTAGTAGGAATACTTTACAGATACATTTTATGAGGGTTCCATTATCAGATGTGCTTGTAAGACTAGCACTTTTACCCACAGAGCTGTCTTCGTGGCCACTTAGGCAGTATCCATTCATCCATCTATCTACAGACCCCATCCATCCATCCATCCATCCATCCATCCATCCATCCATCGCCCTGGTCTCACTACGTAGCTCTGGCTGTCCTGGAACTCAAGTCTGGCAACATGAGTTTGATCCCTACAACCCACATAAAAGGTGAAGGAAAGAATCGCTTCCAAAAACATGTCCTCTACACCCATGCTGTAACAAGGGCACCCATCCCTACACACATAATAAACACATATAAACCTTAAAAATACAGAACACTGAACAGTATTTCTTTGGTATACATCTCTTCTAAGGGAATTATAAAATACCAATGATTCAAAGGGCTCGAGAGACTACATTAAAGTAAAAAGATAAACCACTCAAGCTAATCTACAAGCCCACAAAACCCTTCAGCCTCCTCATGACACCCAGCGCCCTCCTCTAGCTCCTGGATGTGCGCTTGGCTCCTGCTTCTGCACACACATGCACCACACAATTTTTTTCAGAAAGTTCACCATTCTGTCATGATGGAAAAAAATGTTTATGTTTGGGTTAAGGAGACATTAGGACTTTAAAAGTTATACAGCAGGGAGATGGAGTTGAGTCTGGGAGGAGTTGGGGAAAGAGGATCAAAACATTCAGCATGAAATTCTTTAAAATGGGCCAGGCAGTGGTGGCGCATGCCTTTAATCCCAGCACTTGGGAGGCAGAGGCAGGTGGATTTCTGAGTTTGAGAGTTCGAGGCTAGCCTGGTCTTCAGAGTGAGTTCCAGGACAGCCAGGGCTACACAGAGAAACCCTGTCTCAAAAAAAAAACAACAAAAAAAAAATTCTTTAAAATTAATAAAAACATAAAAATACACAATATAATTCACAGAGTAAGCTGTGGAGAGTGAAACTAATCCAAAAATTAAGGAATGGTATTTTGTAACATTCAGGCTGTCAGTTCTCTGGGGTTGTATTTTAGTCAGGCTGGGAGGAATATGCCTGTACTATATTGGGAGACTGAAGCACCTTCTCTTGGGGGCTGGAGAGATAAGTCAGAAATTCTGAGTACTTGTTGATCTTCTAGAGGACCCAGATTCAGATCCCAACACCCACAACCACCTGTAACTCCAATTTCACAGCCTTTTTTGACCTCCTTAGGCACCAGACACAAATGTACTACTATACATACATACACATTCAAAAGCAACAAAATAAACCTTTAAAATTTAAACTTTTTTAAAAGATGAGTTCTATAAATATGAGGCCAGTCTGAGCTACAATGACTATCAGGCCAGTCAGGGACACGTAGCAAGAACCCTATCTCAAAAATAAATAAATTAAATAAATAAATAAATAGATAAAATAAAAAGAACCAGATTCTAACCTTAGAGATCCACATACTTACAGTCACACATTGCCTAGTGCTCAGCAAACAGTGGACCTCTAAACATAAAACTAGGAGAGCACACAAGTAAGCATTCCAGAATTTTGTGGGGCTGAAAAGTCCCTATCAGTTTGTGATGTTGCAGTTGCCATGTGTAAGTGCTATGTGTAAGCACAATTCATGTATTTGTGGTCACACTGATAACAAACCTACTGTGCTAAAAATAGAAAAATGCAGCACATACAATTTCACATAGTAAATAATGATTGACAATATAAGCAACCATATTGGTATAGGGTATTTATTCTATCTTTCATTTTTTTTTTTACTTATTTGAAGACAGACTCACTAGACAGCCCAGACTGGCCTTGAACTCAATCAAACGCCTTCTACACAGATCTCCTAAGTGTGAAAATTAACGGCACTTGCCACCATGCCCTGCTAAAAATTATTTCAAATCCTTCTATTTAACAAAAAAGATCAGAGTAAAGTAGCATCCAAGTTACATAAGCAACTGTTACGTACATTTCGAGTTTGTCAAATCTCTAAAAAGCACCATGTTCTCTGGTTTCTGACTTATCTCAGGTTGCCTTGCTCACTGAGTATAGGAGCAATAGGCTGTGTCATACATAAACACATAAACACACACACACCCCCAACAGCCCAAGAGTACAGTAGGCTATACCATCTAAGTTAAGTTTGTCAAAGTACATGCTCTCAAAATATGTCCTTGCTATTAAGCAACAGGAGGCCATTTCTTAGAGAAAACTGTCGGTGATCACACACCACGTACAAAGTGCTCTGTCACTACTGTGGAAGCCTGCTTTCAGAGACTGCATGTCTGATACACTGAAGGCTGTGGCTGTTCTGTTTAACAAGTCTACTGGCATCGATTTCCCAACTCCTCCTAATCACTAGCATCTTTAACAAAGCATTTTAAAGTATTTACATTTAAAAACACGCAATGCTACCGGCACACTTTATAAGCATAGAGGTAAGCTTTATATGCACTGGGAAACCAAAAAACTCCTATTGAAAGGCATCTTCATCTATCAATCAGCTCCTTCAGACAAAGGCTCCTGCTCAACAACTGCACCTCAGCTTACTCAAGCAGCACAATAAGCTTCAAATCACAGACTCCCTAAAGTGATCCATTAAAAGTTAAGTCTTGAGAAGACGAGATACTTATCAGAAGAGGTTTCTCCCACTTATAATACTAAACACACTAAGCCATAAGAATTAGATACTCTTGGTCATAAGAGGCCTGGTCTCATGCAAACTCCTCTGGATTTACAGCCTCTTAAGAATTCTGTTTTTCTTGTCTCCTTAACAGCGGTAGCCTCGCAGCTATTCTCAGGCATTTTCTCATACTCTATCATCAGTACCCATAAGCACCAACCACCTGCCACACGATGAGGCACTCCAGAGAGAACTTGTTTCCCATTTTTGCTCCTGCTTAGGAAAGGAGGGAATGTGAAAAAAGTGAATAGTTCATCACTGTTAAATTCCCTGCATCTGTTATTATTTATAGACAATAGGCCAAGAACAGTTCTTATTCATGATTGCTCTGAGTTCACAACCACTGAAGTGTCTGAGAAGCTAGGCCACAACAAGATCTCTGGGCCACAACAGTCATGAAGCTGGGGCACACTTACCTAGAGAGTTGCAGCCCGGCGTAGGACACTTCATATTAAAATTGTAGCTTTCATGAAATCGACGACGCTTGGGACGGTGAGAGAGATCACTGCCTGAGTCCTTCAGGGACATGTCCTTGGCAATGCTCTCATCATGAGACACGTTGGGGCTGGAGATGTCTATGTCAGACTCAGAAGAAGGTGCATTGCCAGTTGGAGTTCGAGGTGGTGACTCATCATGATCAGCTGTATTTTTAGTTTCTAAAGAAAAAGCAATTGGTAGAACTGGTGAGCAGGTCCCTTTATTTAAAGACTCCCTGGATAAGAAGAGTTTATGGAATTTGCAGTTCTCTTTCTAGTGTCATGAGCCCAAACTCTCTCTATGTAGCTAAGAATGATCTTGAATATGTGATCCACCTCCTTCTCCTTCCCTAGTTCTGAGTTTACAGGCATAAGCCACCATGCCGAGCTCTATGCAGTGCTAGGGAACAAAATCAAGGGCTCATGCATGCTATGCCAGCAGTCTATAAGAAAGCTACATCTATAGTCATCGAAGACCTAACCAGTAATTTTTAGCTACTTATCTGCTATAACACATTGAAAACACTTGGTGTAACTTTAAATTCTGATTGAATGTAAATCTGAAGTTCAGGCACTACATGTTACTTTTCCATATTTCTCCTAAGCTCTTAATCCTGAGTAATCAAAATCAAGTATAAAGTCTTTGGAAAATTACCAAAAGGAACCAAATATGATAAAACTGTGTTTTCACTATCCCAAGTGTTATTTAGTAGTGAAATTTAAAACTACTTAATGACAAAATTTCTCCAAAACATATTATCTTCTTTATTGGAAAAGTAAGTTAATAAATAATGAGCCCATTTCCCTTCCTGGAGACACACAAGACAGAAAAATCAATGAGCTGGGTGTGGTGGTGTGCTCTCTCAATCCCAGCACTCAGGAAGCAGAGGCAAGCATTCTCTATGCCGGCCTGGACTACAGAGCAAGGCCACATAGAAAGACCCAGTCTCAAAACCAACCCCTACCTAAGGAAGAGGAAAAAAAAGAAAGAAAGAAACTGATAGAAAATGTTTCTTTTAAGGGTCTAAGAAATGGTTCAGCAGTTAAAAGGCTCCCAGAGGACCTGAGTTCAACTCCTAGCACCCACCATAATGGCTCATAATTGTCTATAACCAGTCCAGGGATTCCAGTTCTTGGGGAGTCAATGTTATCAGTACTCAAGTGATATTTTTTAAAACTTCTTTTAATACTTAATGTGTATGAATGTTTCGCCTGCATGTATGTATGTATATATGTATGTGTATAATCAACATGTCTGGTGCCTGAAATTACTAGGGTCTCATAATCTTGAAATTCACTTTTTTCTTTTTAATGGGGGGGGGGGCCCGAAGGGCGGGAGGGAGGCAGACTGAGACTTTACTATGTATCCCCTGGTTGGCCTGGAACTTTCTATGTAGGGCAGGACAGCCCTAAACACACAGGGATCCAATGCCTCTACCTCCCAAATGCTTGAATTAAAAACATTTAGCACCATTGCTCTCTGTTTCTTTTTAATTTTAAATTATGTATATGTAGGTATAATGTGGGTGCTGGCAGAGGCCAGAAGAGAGTGTCAGATCTCCTAGAATTGGAGTTACAGGTAGTTGTGAGCCACCAGACGTGTGTGCTAGGAACCTAACAGGTTCTAAGAGCAAGCCGTACATACGCTGTATGTAGTGGTGCATGTCTTTATTCCCAGCATCTGGGGGCAGAGGCAGTCAAGTCTCTGTGAGTTTGAGACCAGCCTGGTCTACATAGTAAGTTCTGGGACAGCCAGGGATATAGAGAGTCTGTTCCCTTACCCACGCAAAAAAAGAGCAGTACACGCTCTTAACACTGAGCCATCTCTACAGCACACCTAGGGTCTGATCGCTGGAGTCTGACGGTTCTACAGAAACTATACACTCTTAAATCAAGGTTTACAAACTAGATACCTATAAGAGTTGAACAAGGTCAAAGAATTGTCTGTCTAGAGGTGACAACTACTATTCAGCTCCAGTTAATAATTACTGAGTAAATGGCCATCCAATATTTCCAGATCTGTCTTTTTTCAAAAGTTAACTATTGACCCATGAATTCAAAGGCAGTTTGATCTAGATAATGAGTTCCAGGATACCGTGGAACACTAGAGGCACTATCTCAAAAAGCCCCCAAAACAAACAAAAGAAAACGTTAAGTATTGGAGCTGGAGAGATGATTCATTGGTTAAGAGCTCTGGCTATTCTTCCAGAGGACCTGGGTTTGCTTACCAGCTACACAGCAGCTCACAATAGTAACCCCTGTTCCAGGGTATCTCATGCCCTCTCCTGGCCTCCATGGGTACCAGGCACAAATGTAGTACACAGACTTACATGCAGACCAAACAATACAAATAAATAAAAATTTAAAAATTAGTACAGGTTTTTATATGAAAACCACTGTACTTCCAAGTACTATCAAGAAAGTTAAAAAAATTGAAACTCTGCAAACAACTAATCCATGTTCCCTGGGTGAAGACCCTCAGTAGCTTGTAAGACCTACTCTAGCCGGGAAGTGGTGGCGCATGCCTTTAATCCCAGCACTTGGGAGGCAGAGGCAGGCGGATTTCTGAGTTCGAGGCCAGCCTGGTCTACAGAATGAGTTCCAGGACAGCCAGGGCTACACAGAGAAACCCTGTCTCGGAAAACCAAAAAAAAAAAAAAGACCTACTCTAATGCCTCCTGCTCTAAGGCTCTTAAAATATGGAGTCACAACTTCAATAACCTAACACTGCCTATCACTAATGGTCACTCCTAGTCAGCAGTCTGGAGGTAAAATGGACTAGTAACCATGACTAATAAAATCTGGGCTTCATGTGGAGGTTCAGAAGGCCCTGCCTCCTCCCAATCTAATACACCTCACACTTTAGCAGACAAAACACTGTGTAAGACAGTAGGAAATTAGACAAACTGGGACACGGCAGTAGTCTCGGCACTCCAGAGATCAAGGCAAAAGGATTCCAAGTTTGAGGCTATATTTTGCAAACGCTGATTCAAAAACTACAAACAAACCAAACAAACAAACAAAAGGAATCAAGTGAACAGTGTTTGCTTACCTAAACTCTGACAATCTCCGCAGTGCCAAAGTCTCCAATACAAGAGAACTGAGCAGACCTTCTGTACAGTACAAATCTCACCTGAACAGACCCTCTGTACAGTACCAGTCTCACAGACCCACTCACCTCTGTCTGAAAAATCAACCACCTGCTCTGTTTCAGAGCCAGATGAGCGAGTCTGCCGAAGAGGGTACTTTTTTGGAGTCACTGGCGTGGGCTGCTGCTGACTACGGGTCACTCTTCTGGTAGAATAGGCAGGTTCCTCAGTGCCGAAAGATGGCAAATTTCGAACAGGGCTGGAATCTAATCCGGGTTTTAAAAGATCATAAAATAAAGAAGAAAACCCATTTTATATCTATTCACACAACAATCAGAATACAGCTTCTTCTCTTCTATTTCACAAAACCCAACAAACCCTTAGATTATACCCATCTCACTAAATAATGCACGCCAAGGGTCAGGCGGAACTGTATCCTAATAGTGGTAAAACAGAATGACTAGTTTAGGGTCTGGAGTAAAGACTGAGCTCCATTTGATTCTACTTCACCACAGCAACAATCTGTGGCATTTTATGCAAGTTAATGTCTCTAAGCTTACTTCTTTACCCATGAGAGAGAAAAATACTTACTTTAGTATGGGGAAAATAAAGAAATGAATAAATAAATAAAAGAAAGAACGTCAGTAGTAGTATATTTCTTAAGCTTACTGTGATAAAGTTCCTGTTTTGTTTTGTTTGTTTTGGTTTTTTTGTTTGTTTTCTAAAACAGAATCTGAAAGTAGCCCTGGAACTCGCCCTGTAGACCAGGCTGGCCTCGAACTCACAGTGATCCATCCACCTGCATCTCTCTCCTGAGTTGCCAGGACTAAAGGCATGTGTCTTACCACCTGGTGGAAGAAGAGTTCTTTACCAATATTGGCTAAACTGCCTTTTTCTTCCCTTGTTATAGTCCATTGTAATACAGATGTCCTAAAACTAACAGAGTGTGTCTGAGAGGGGGTTGCTTATTCTTTCTGACTACCCTTGTCTTCTTATGGAGTTACCGATGGTGTGAGTCACCATGTGGGTGCTGGGAGTCAAACTCAGGTCCTCTGCAAAAACAACTAAGTGCTCTTAACTGCTGAGCCATCACTCCAGCCCCTTAAGTTCTTCCCATAGAAACCTATTCTAAAGGCTTCATAGACCTTTCCCATCTCCAGCCTGATGCCTCTTAAAGGAAATAAACTCAAAGCTAAAACTGAAGAATATTTTAAATGACAACAACCTATGACTATCTAAGTTGAAGTTGTGAAACTGTCAGGAGAGGTAAGTTAGTACAGGGCCAGGGCCCTAGGACTGAATAGTTCCAAGGGCTCTTTTCATAAGGCCTTTCTTTACATTTCACAGTAGGACGGCCTTACCCTGTGACTAATGCTCCCAAAAAACAATGCAGCTCTATGGTCATGAAATAAAATAGCTACAGAGACCCCTAGCTGTTTTAAGTATCCATCACCTTTAGGGCACAGCTAGTTGCAGCGTCTAAGAACCATTATGACTCTTTGTATTTATGAGTCCTTTTGCCTAAAATATTTTGCTCATCTTCAATTTGGAAAATCCTACTGGACTCCTCCAAACTCTTTCAGGAGACCTTCCCACAAGAATGTGGTTGCTCCACCTCTGGGCTTCCATAGGATTTTTTAACAAATCACCTTTATTTATTTGTGTGTGCACACACATTTGTATGTATGTATATGTATTTATATACATAGCTATAAACATATTTATATATACGTATCTATATCTACCTATAAATACACACACACTTACTTTTTTGGTATTTTTTTTTGAGAGCCAGAGTCTCAGAATGTAGCTCTGGCTAGCCTTGAACTCTGAATGTATATCAGGTTGGCCTTGAATTCAGAGATCTACATGCCTCTGCTACCCAAGTACTAGGACTAAGTGTACATCACCACCTGGCCCCATATTATAATTTCCCATTTACTCTGTCATTGCAGACTGATAACTACCTTTTGTGTGTTAGCTGAAAAATCTTTCTTCCACGCAGAATAGGACTGAGAAGGGTAAAAGGCTACTTCTATATAAGCCCGAGTGACTAAGTGCATTAGAGAGCTTTCCAACTACCTTCCAACCACAAGTCTTTTGTTTTTTCACTACGAAAGAAAAATTCTGGGTATTTAGTCACATAGTTATCCTATCAAATGTGACTCTTCAGTCTAGAATTAAAAGTGCTTTTAGAAGCATTAAGCCTCACTAACACACTCAATAAGCACTTTAACCTTAAGCCATTTTATAGTGACAACATTTCTATTTTATTGTTTTATGATGACCTATAATACCATAAAATCTTTAAAAAATTACTCAAGACATCTGTATCTCACATTTATATAAGCCATTGCCTATAAAAGAACATGGTATCTGACAGAAACCACTTTGAAGACCGGGTATTTTGGCAATTGCCTTACACTTTGACCAGTCTACCATCTACACTAGTGGTTTTCAACCTGTGGGTGGAGACTCCTTTGTAGGTGGGGTGTCAACTGACGCTTTCACAGGAGCCGAATATCAGATACCCTGCATGTCAGATATTTACATTACAATCCATAACATTAGCAAAACTACAGTTATGAAGTAACAAAGATAATTTAATGGGGGGGGGGGGGGGCTGGAGAAATGGCTCAGCAGTTAAGAGCACTGTCTGCTCTTCCAGAGGTCCTGAGTTCAATTCTCAGCAACCATATCATGGCTCTTAACCATCTGTAATGAGATCTGGTGCCCTCTTCTGGCCTGCAGGCATACACAGACAGAATGCTGTACACACAATAAATAAATCCTTAAAAAACATAATAATTTAATGGTTGGGGTCACCATAACTGAGGAACTGTATTAAAGGGCCGCAATGTTAGGAAGGTTGAGAACCACTGCTCTACAACAAGCCCACGGACCAGTTTCTCCATGAATCAGCATAATAAAATGATACCAATCCAAGGAACAGTCAGTAGAAAAAAGAAAAAGTATTTACCTTGAGAACTCTGGCTTAGCCTGGCTGAAGAGCGGGTGACTCGGGCAGATCGGCGCGATGTGCCATCACTCTCTGAACTGTCTGTGTGCTCGAGATCTGTAGAAAAATCGGAATCTTCGGTTCCATCTGAACTACTGCCTGCATTTCTCTGTAATACCATAGATCCAGACATTAGCACAAAAGCATTTACTGTGGTTTTCTATTAGCACTGGAAGTAAAATGAACCATGATGCTGATGTACCAAGTTCCAACATAAGAGCAGACTCCACAGCGAGTCTTTCCCCTCCCTACGGCACAGGCACTGGCCTTCCTTTTGGACATGCTAGTGGAATAACCTACCACTAAACCACCTGTACTCAACAGACCGAGGAAGGGAAGTAACTCTTACTGTATTATCACCAATTATCAAACAATTCGGACTGAATCTACAACTCTCATAAATTGGAAATAAAAACACCCAACAAAGAAAAGAAAGAAAAAAGAAAAGAAAAAGCATGGCCCAGTGGCTAAGAGCACAGATTGCTCTGGCAAAGTACCTGAATTCAGTTGCCAGCACCCACTTGGTAGCTCACAGCTGAAGCCTGTACCTACAGCGCCAGAGGAAGCCAATGCCTCCAGTCTCCTAAGACACCTGTATTCATATGTCCGTACATACATATACAGAATTAAAAATAATATAAATATTTTTTTAAAAACAAGAAAAAGTCCAAGATAATATATAAAATGTTAACGTTAGGTCCCATTTAACTTTGGAGTAAATTTTACTCAAACTCTCCATCAACAAAAATCACATTCGATGGGCATGGTGGTGCACGCCTTTAATCCTAGAGGAGGTAAAATCTCTGCTGAATTCCAGGGTAGCCTAGTCTACATAACTGAGTTCCAGGACTGCCAGAGCTACATAGAAAAACCCCGACTCAAAAAAAAAAAAAAAATCATTTCAAAATATGTTCTTGGGGCTGGAGAGATGGTTCAGTGGTTAAGAGTATTTGCTGCTCTTCCAGAGGACCTGGGTTCAATTCCCAGCACTCATGGCAGTTCAAAACTGCCTGGAACTCCAGGTCTAGGAGCTCCAATAAGCTCTTCTGGCCTCTAGTAGTACCTAGCTACACACATGGTAATCTACACACACACACACACACACACACACACACACTACACGTGTAAAGAGCTAAAATTCTAATCCCAAAAGAATTTAACCAGAAAAAGATACAAATTATTTCTTAGCCATCAGGCCTTGAAGTTTCTCCAGTGTTGTAAGTGCTGGAAAGAGATTTATACTAAAAACTAAATAGGTATTCAAACCAAGGTTTTTAGAAATTAGATTTATTTTATTCTATGAAATTAATTTTATGTATGAAAGTATCATATACATGTATGTGTATCATATACATGTGTATCATATGTGTATATGTGTATCATATACATGCCCTCAGAGGTCAAGGGAGGCTGTCAAATCACAGTAAACCAGAGTCATAAAGGGTTGTGAAGCCGGGCAGTGGTGGCACATGCCTTTAATCCCAGCACTTGGGAGGCAGAGGCAGGCGGATTTCTGAGTTCGAGGCCAGCCTGGTCTACAGAGTGAGTTCCAGGACAGCCAGGACTACACAGAGAAACCCTGTCTCGAAAAAACCAATAAAGAAAGAAAGAAAGGAAGGAAGGAAGGAAGGAAGGGAGGGAGGGAGGGAGGGAGGGAGGGAGGGTGGGTTGGTTGTGAGCCACCATGTGGGTTCATGGAACCCAGGTCCGCTGCAAGAGCAACAAGTGCTCTGACCCACTGAACCATCTCTGCAGCCCCATATGCCAGGTTCTTAGAAACTCGTGCCACACCCTAGTCTTAACTGTCAGACTCCTGAGGACTGATTAGCCACAAAGATTACTTTTATCAAATAAGCATTCACACTTGCCCTTTTCTATGATGAAAAAAGAAGAATATTTGCTGAAATCACTACAACCCTCAAACTCAGTCCTAATGTTTTTGGCAAGGGAAGGGAGAGGGAGGCAGGAAAGGCTCAACTCAGGGCTTCGAGGCACTAACCACACCCCACTGAACTAAAGCCTAGATCCAGGTCCCAACAAAGAATAAGCTGCCTCGGGCCAAGTATGTTTGGAGTTACTAGATTCTTACAAAGAACACATATATCCTGCAAGTAACATACTACACCAAAAACATTAATATTTCTAGGGCAAACAAAATTAGTGTCACACTAAAAAGAGACATATAAAAAAACTAAATAACCTTTGGATAGTCTAGGACAGATTTGCCATCTACAGAGATCCACCTCCCAAGTGCTGATTAAAGGCTTATACCATAACATCCAGTAAGAATTTACATTTTCCAGGCTTCCTTCCGATTATTTGGAAACTGCTAAAAGGAGACTAGACCATTCCAACAAACCAGTATGTCTCTTGCATTTGGTGTGCCTGGATAATAATACTACCTGTCAACTCTGGTCACTGTAAGAAACATTAATGTAAATATTTAACTTGTAAAGTTTCCATGAAGAGTGATCTCTACAGAAATATGAATACCCAAATATTTCATTCAACAAGTAAGTAGAGGCACCAGAACCACAGAATGTCACTAAAATAAAAGACAAACTTGAAGGTTATCGTGGCCAAAGACCCAGATGCCGTCCATGACCTGTCAATTCTGCCTGGCTTAACCCTGAAAATCAGCTCTTAGTAATTTCCCATGTTAACTGCTTCCTTACAGTGTATACAATTTCAAGCAGAGACTGTACGGCAGCTTTCCGTGGTTACTTCTTTGTGTTTTTCACTCATCTGCGATAACCCTTTAAGCCAGAGATCACGCATCATTCTCGAATCCCTAACAACTAGCATGTAGCCCTGCTCCTTTGCATTTTACAACTGAACATATGGAACAAATGTCACGCAGTTCAACAACACGTTTACAAACCAGGAAATGTCAAACTGAACAAATACGTGGAAGACGTCGTCTGAGATGCAACAGGCCTGCGAGCTATCCCTTGGGGGTGGGCGCTGGTTTTCTAAACACCCATCCTCTGCTTTGTTATACCCCCCACCTGGAAAAAAAAAAAAGTGGTCTTCCCAACAGGCCTTTACACCTATCGCCATCTCTATCCGGAAGGGCGGGGCGTCGGTCGACCCAATCCAGGCCTTGCTAAGCCGCACCCGCCACAAGAACAGACTGCGAAGCTGGGCCAATAAAGAGATGGGAGAGCATTCGCCACAGCCAGTCGGAGAGCACCGAGGCCAGCCCAGACACCGCCCACGCACGCGGGGAGGTGACCGTTGGGCCCAAACAGGCGGCGCCACCATCCAATCAATATGCTTCTAGACGTTTCCGCGACCAATTAACAAGAACGCCTCCGATCCGGGCAAGCAGAGGGCGGGAATAGTTACAGGCATAGGCCGAGACCAGGGTCGGGCCCACATTTTTCTGCCTGGTACCGAGAGGAGACAGGGTGGGTACGCTAGGTTCGGGGGAACAGAAAGTTGGAACCCAACCACTGCGAGGCGTGGCCAACCGCGTCACGTCGCTCAATCGACTCCCCCTTAGAAACCCGCCATCCCTTCTCTGCCATTTCTCACCTTCCTTCGCGGCATTGCCGGTGGCTGCAGCCCGACGGTTCCGATTCGGGCGGCGGCAGCACCAGCAGGAACGGGGGCTCCGGCGGGCTCCGTGGCGGCCTCTGTAGCAGTCCCAAACCCTGCGGACGATCCCAAGTGCCTCCTGCCTCTCAGCGTCTAGAGCCTTCTGCGCAAGCGCCGCGGGCTGGAAGCGCCTTTTCCTTCACTTCCGGCTGAGGCTTGCGTCACCCGACCTTTAGGCCAGTGAGGATACTGGGAAGTTCGAAACTTTTAGTGAGGCTAGTCAGCGCCATTTTGGAATTGGGCAGGGGACGATACCAGTTGTGAAACCTTGGGACTAGCCATTTTTAGTTAGGTATGCGGCACTTGTTGCGAGTTAGGTAGCCATGATTGTTTGGGGCAGAAGTCTGGCAGTTGAAGGTAACCGTTTTCATCTTTACATTGGGCAGACTCTCCCTTCCTGGTCGTTTTAATTTGCGGCGTGGAAGGAGGAAAACCCCAGAATCCATCAGGTTGTCGATCTTTAACTCTTTCGTTTCCTAGTCGGTCAAAGGACGTTTCCGTTTATCCTGTAAACTCAGAACTGGCAAGAGGTATTTTGCCCAAGGAACTGTTGTAAGAGCTACTCTGTGTTCCGGAGTGGTGTGAATGGTGCTTGAATAAAGAATTGACAGGGTTATTGTCGGTCTCAAAGTAGGGTAGAGGAGACATTGTCCTTGCTAAGAGAACAGCAAGTAAGTTACGTCCACGTTACAGGATAATGCAGAGCCATTCTCAGAATGCCGTAGCGCCAAAGAATTCCCAATTTAGCTCTGCTGTGAAACGCCTCCGGCTTATCAGTACTCTGCTTTGGTTTGAGAGCTTTGGGTGGCCTGGAGAGGGGCGGAAGACATGATCTGAATAGAGGGTGCTGTACCAAAAGTCGGAGAAGTGTTGAGCCCCATTCAGCCCATGTGACCCCTGTAGCCTAAATGCGGGAGCCAAGAACTGGGTGGAGAGAAAAATAGTATTTTGAAAGACACTGGAAAGAGAATGGGTATTTAAGTAACAATAAAAGGGCATAAGAAGGTGAAATTAAGACTGGAAGAAGAGCTATACGAAAAGTCTGGAACCAGGAGGGGCGGCGCATGCTTTTTGAAGCGGAAAGATCCAAATCTTGAGCTTAAGGCCACCCTGGTCTACACAGCGAGTTCCAGGCTAGAGACTGTCTCGAAAAAGAAACGTCTGGAAAGTGGTTAGCAGGCCTTGAAGTTTTAACCTTAGAGGACTTGAGAGAACCAAGGTGGACCAAGAGTGACTTGCTGGGAGCAAAGCAACCTTAGCTACCAAGATAGGATTCTGGTAGATTTATTTCTGTCTGTGCGTGTCTGTATGTGTGCGCGTGCGCGTGCGCGCACATCCATGCTCAAGACAACTTTGGGGAGTAGATTCCTAACTTCCACTTTCATGGGGTCTCAGGGATCAAACTCGGGTCACCAAGCTTGCTGAAACAGCAAGTGCTTTTATCCACTGAGCCACCACAGGCCCCTATCAGAATTTCAATCTGAGGCTAGCTAACCTGGAGAGAGGCTTTAAGAACAGACTACAAACCTGACTGATATGCTAAACAGAGGACTCTACAGAGTTAAAAGTTTCAGACCTTTAGCCCACACTCCTTGGAGCTAGGGGGTGGGGAATAGCTTAAGCCTTGCTGACGCCGGTAGCATTCAGTATTTTGCTTTTAGTACTTAGTTTAAATACCTTTTAACAACCTAAGTGAGTTGATTTGCACATAAACACTTGCTTGAAAACGGCTCTGATATTTTCCTTTGTATTATTTTAGCGCTCTTGTGTTTAATTCAATGCTAACACTGTTCTTTTACACTTATGGATGTGTTCCTGGGGTTACTCTGGAATGTTCTAACTCCCTAACTAGTGATAACAGCCTCTTATATTTGAATGATATCCTTTTAAATTGGCTGTGGTGACAACACATCTGTACTCTCAGTCCTTGAAGCAGGAGGCAGGAGATTCAGTTTAAGGTTTTCAGCTACATGGTTCTAGGTTAGCCTAGACTGGGTGCATCTTCCAACCCTCTGTAATTTCTGTCTTCAGAAAGTCTTTCCTGATTTACTATTTGTAAGGTAGTAAAGCATGGTGACATATTATTTTTTAGAGACTACTGTGTATTCTCAAACATTGGTGAATATTCTTCCCACTCCATTTCCCAGCCATTAGGAACATAATTACTATTCATATTATTATCAGCTTTACTAGTATTGAGTGTATAAGGCTTTGATGTCAGATGTAGATTTGGATCGGCTCTGTCATTTTTTTTCTCTGTGCTACCCTTGGATGAGTTTTTAAATTGACCTGAGTTGTCTCATCTTGAAGACTGCGTGCTAATGACCAGCTTACTAAGTGGTTGTAAAGAATAAAGGAAATGAGTGTTTTGAAATACTTAGCAAGTTCCTGAGATAGAGTAAGTGCTCGATGTATGGCTGTCTTTGTTTGTAGTCTCTTTAATCATGACTATAACATCCTCCTGTTCAGTACTTTCCTGTGGTATCAGTGGTTGCTCTATCTATTTAGCTCACTTCAGCTTTAGAAACCCAGCAATTACACAGACATCGTGTCATACCAAGGTGGAGAAGACATCATCTGCCCACAGTGGAGCTATGAGTCTAGTTGTTCTAAAATGCTATGGACTATTAAGAGAAGGAGGAGGAGGAGAAGGAAGAGGAGGAGAAGAGGGAGGAAGAGGAGGAGGATGGAGAGGAGGATCCACTGGGACAGAGAGGGAGGCAGAGTATTTCATCTGGAAAGTGTAGGAAAAGGTAAGAGAGGTGAATGAAAAATGGAATTTAATAGGTTGACATAGAAAATAGGGGCTTTCCATGCAAAGAGTACAGCATGTTCAGAAGTTTAGGTGTGGAGCAAGCATCCTGTCTGGGGTAACTTACTTGGCAAGGGGGAATGAAATGGTTGCCAAAATGGTGCTGGGAACCAGTTCCTGCAGAGCTTTCTGTGCTTGGGCTGGGAGACTGGATTGGAGGTGCAAGGCTGGTACTGAAGTACTTTAAGTAGAGAAGTCCCATGATCAGACTTGCATTTTAGATATTTACTTCTGGCAGCTTTTAGAAGAAGGATCAGAGTAGCAGGGAAGCCCAAAGTAGATTAGTTCAAGTGCTGCTGCAGTCTGAGCCAAAGACAAGGGATAGCTGAAGTGGGCTGGAATAGCGGGGACAATCCTGTGTGCCTTTGTAGACTGTTTTTACTTGTATCTGTGTCTCATCTCCTCCATTACCCAAAATAAAAAGTTCCTCAGGTTCCAGGACTAGAGAGATGGCTCATTGGTTAAGAGCACTGGTTACCCCTACAGAAGACAAGGGTTCAATTTCCAGCTCCCATTTGGCAGCACACAACTGTCTGTAACTCCAGTTCCAGGGGATCTGACACATAGACATACATGCAGGCAAAAACACCAATGCACATAAAAAAAAAAAAAGGTCCTCAATTTCCTTTAAAATATACCAAAAAAGGGTACTAGGTCATATTAGGTAATGAGGAAGGACAGAGTGCAGGCAAAGGACGTTAGCCGTGAGAGAAGGTCTAAGGCTAACTTTTCCTAGTTGTAACTCTGCCATAGTTTTTCTCTTTTTTCTCCTCAGTGGATAAGCAAATAAAAAGCTGTAACTGATAGTGAGCATGTGGGACTGTAAGCCGAGTTCCCTTGCTTTGGAATAGCTATTCTAACCGTATGGGAGCTCACTAGCTCTGCATAAAGTGTGGGACTCAGCAAGTGTTTGAGCAACTACCTTCATCTAGCTGTATGATGTTTTATTTGTGAGCTCATTACAATAAACTGATTTTATTAAAAGAAATCCAAAGATTAAAAAAGAAAGGTTCCTTTGCCAGTAAAATGATAGGTACTGTATTTCAAATACAAGTATAATTGTTCATTGCCTGCTTCAAAGGCCTTAGAGTTCCTGAAAGCTGGGAGTTCTGTCTGGCTTGTTACACTGTCTGCAGTTTCATTCATTCTTACTGCTTGGTATCTGAAGAGCTCAGTAAATGGGGTAGCACCAAGTTAAATATCCCTGACTCCAGGGCCAAGTGTTGACTCAGCTAGGAAAGACTTCCAAAGACCCAGTCCTCCTCCTTTCTCTGACCAGGTACGTATCCTGCAGGATTAGAGATGAGACATTCCCTCCGTGTACAGATACTGTCTTGAAGTGAGAGAAGCCGGTCTGGACCTTTGCAAGACAGTGCTATGGTAACTAGGCCCTGTAACTTCCGGCTAAAAGTATTGATGTATCCTCTATCCCTTTGGGAGAACCTCAGCAGTTGCTGATGTCCTACAAATTTATATTAAAATCCTTTTCTTTACCTCTGCCTTAAGAATAGAGTCAAGAAGGCTGGGTGGTAGAAGGACACACCTTTAATCCCAGCACTTAGAAGGCAGAGGCAGGTCAATCACTGTGAGGTCGAGGGTAGCCTGGTTTATAGAGTGAGTTCCAGGGAAGAAAAAACCCCCGTCTCAAAAAATAAAACCAAAAGCCGGGTGGTGGTGGTGCACGCCTTTAATCCCAGCACTTGGGAGGCAGAGGCAGGCGGATTTCTGAGTTTGAGGCCAGCCTGGTCTACAGAGTGAGTTCCAGGACAGCCAGGGCTATACAGAGAAACCCTGTCTCGAAAAACCAAAAATAAATAAATAAATAAATAAAACCAAAACAAACAAAACAATAGTCAGTCTGGAATGGTAGAGCATACCTTTAATGCTAGCAGTCTTAAAGCACAGGAAGTTCGGATCACTGCAAATTCAAGGCCAGCCTGATCTACATAGTTCTAGTTTTGCTGGTATCGAGTTAGGAGTGGAGAGGGATAGGTGTTGTAGCTCACACCTTTAATACCAGCACTGGAGAAGTAGATACATTCAGGTCTCAATGAATTGGAGGCCAGTCTTGGCTACACAGAGTTCCTGGTGAGAGAGAGCTACAAAGACTGTCTCAACAACAACAAAAAAACCACAAAAACACAAAAATCTGTCTCGGGTGAGCCTTTCTTTCCCCTACTGGATATGGCCTGGAGCTTCTCTTAAAGTTCTGGCCAGTGGTTAAATTGGTTGTGTGTCTTCCTTAGTCCCCACCCTCAGCCCACCCTTGGGGAAGTTATTGGCTAGATCCCAGCAGGCGCCAGCACAGCTTCCCACCTTCTGCAGCTGGGGTTATAAATAACCACCAAAGCTAAACAG